TCTTCGACGCAATCTTTGCAGAATACATGGCCGCATGTTTTGATCGCCGTGTTTTTGAAATTTCGACGACACACCGTGCACAGTGCAAGTGTCTGAACGGGGTTAGCTTTAGTTCATTAACAGATGTGGGAATTCAGCATACCCGCAACATTTCATATTCCGAGGACGAATTGCCAAGACTCTTGTTCTTCCAATTGTCCAGACTCTTCTTGGTATCTGAAAGCGACTGTTTCAAGCCAGCGACCTCTGTCTCGGCTTGCCGCAAAGCAGAAGTTGTGCTTCCCAGTGTCGAGTCCTTGGATACTGAAAGACTCTTTAGCTCGGAAACCTGGTGTTTCAAGCCTTCCATGAGGATGTTACTCTCAGTCAGCTGCTGCTGAATGGCACGGTGCTTGCTCAAGGCTGCATTGAGTGCCTCCTTAGTCTCACTGGCTTGCTTGTCCATATTGGACACCAATGACCGGGTGGTTGATTCGGATTCCTTCAGCTGGGCCACAATATCTGACGTCTTGGAGCTTTGCATTCTGAGCGTTCGGACTTCGACATCTCGTGCTTCTTTGCTTTTCATTGCTGCAAAGAACTTCTGATCCGCTTTAGACTTCTCCGCTGTTAGCCGTGCAACCCTCTCTTCCATAGCCCCAAAGTCAGTAACTTTCTGCGATGCGAGAGTAGCAAACTTGGTGTAGGCGGTCTGCATCGATGTCAACTCGGTGTTGAGCATGGAGTACTGGCGTTCAAGGCTGGTGTACTTGGCGCGAAGCTCTTCCAGAGGCATATCGTTAATATTGTCATCGGACTTGGAGCCCTCAATCTGCAGTCGCAATCTTTGACTTTCCGACTCTAACGCTGTGATGCGAGCCTCTCTAGCGTCTGCCAGTTCTTGCAGTTTCAGACTGGAAGTCTTCTTCTGATCTTGCGCGGCCTTTCGCATCTGCTGGTCGGCCAGAAGTTCGTCGCGGGCATTTCGTATCCGAGCAAGATCTGTTTCAGCCCTCATCAACTGGGCTTCCTTCTCGGCAATCGTACTTTGTGTTTCATTTTCCACCTGGATCTTGTATGCGGTTCTTTCCGAGCGGTATTTCTCTGCTTGCTCACGAAGTTGAACATTTGTCGCTTCCAGGTGGTTAATTCGCTTAACTACATCGTCGTACTGTGATCGAAGGTGTTTAAATAAATCAGTGTGGGCGTAATCGTCATCGGTGAACTTTGAAGACTGGGATCCCGATGTGAGCGACAAAACGAAAATGTAACGACGGGGTGGGTCCAACCTTGACTTTGATTTCGGTGATTTGGCCTAGCAGGCTGGCATTTTCGGCTTCCAATTTCCGGACTTGCTCCTTTTGTTTCTCCGAAATTGCAGTGAGTTTGTTATTGGCTTCTTCCAACTCGGGGTTGCGGTCTCCTGCGGGGGTTCCTCCATTTGCCGGGGAAGATTCTTCGCGCTTTGATTGTGCCGTTTCCCCAGATCGTTGAATACCCATAGACTGCTGCTTTTCCAGCTTTGCAACAGTCAGACTCTTCGCGCGGTCAAGTTTCTTTTCGGCCACCAGATACCGCAGCGAGGCTTCCTCCAGGCTTTCCTCCAACTGTTGCTTTTCGGATAGGGTTTTTTCGAGCTCGGCGATCGTTACTTTTTCCTCAGCTAACTTCTTTGCAAGGCGAGTTTGTACCTCTGAAATATCGGTAGGCGCATCATTAGACTTGGACTGAATTTGAGAAATTATTGCGCGAATATCCTCCGACCGCGATTTCAGATGCGTCTCGAACTCTTCAACGTCGTCAAACTGCAATGAGCTTTTAAAGGAATTTTCTGCAAATATTGTTAATATTGGAATAGTGGGTGTGAGGTGGGGGTAGGCCGATGGTACTGACCTTGGTCTTCTGCTTGCGATGATCCGAGTAGTAATTTCACTTCATCAATCAACTGTTCAAAAATTAGTCCTTGCTCCCAGATTCTTGCGAAGTCGGTACAAAGAAGCGAAAACTCACTTGTTTGAACCACAAATCGATAATACGGAGATGATCATTGTGAAACGTGGCAGCCTTTGACATCTGATTCAAACGAGATTCCAGTGAGGATTTCTCTCGCTTATACTCTTGCATCTGGCGCAAAATCGCTTCTTTTTGAAATCGCTATAGCGAAACACTCCGATTAGCTTATATCCAACAGGGGACCAAAAACGATCGCGGACGAAATTAAAGACACAAACTTACCTCCAAATCATCCTTCCATGGCATATCGGCATCCGGATGAGGCTTGCTACCACCGTTAACACCGGTGGCCTGTTTCTTTAACGGCGGAGCGGAGTCATTGTTGTCCGCAGCGGGCCTCTTCCGGTCTTCCATCTTGACAAGACCGGGTTCTGAAGACGCGACGGGGGGTTCGACGGCCGGCATCAGTGGCTAAACTGGCATGGGAGGGCTATTATAACCACCGGACCGTCCGTCAGTCAGCCAGACGCAGATCTCGAAACTGTGTCCAATCCTGTAGAAGGAAAGTCCGGTAGAAGAGCAAATAAGAAGTTAATCAAAGCGAAAGAAGTGGAAGTAAAGGAAGGGCGGGCGAGTAGACGATAGAAGGGGTGGGATGGCAGAGATCGAGGAGTTGAAGACAGGAGGATTTTCAACGAGGTTTAGCGTCCGCTAGTGTCATCACGTGATTCTCACCCACTCTTCCCCGGCCTGGAACTTTTTACGATCTTCATCAATCCACACCTTACAGCAATGGGCAGCCATGAAGTCCTTTTCCAGTTCTGCAATCAGTGAGTATTACCTAAGCTAGAAGCATAGCTGTGCAATCTCTAACTCTATGTCTGTCAGATAAAACCGGCAAGAAATTCGCCCCGAAGGCGCCTATCCGCCGTGCGCCTGCCGCCGCGCCCGCAAGACGACCTAGTGTTGTTCAACAGTCGCCAGCCGAGCCTGTTCAGGAAGACAAAGCTAAAGATGTAGCTGACTCTGCTCTGATCCCTTCTGTGGCCGCAGAGCCGGAACCGTCGGCAGTCACAGAGCTCTCACCCGCAGTCGCTGCCTCCGCCACGGAACAAACACCAACTGCTTCGAATAATGCAGTTACTCCCCCGATTTCTACTCCTACCACCGCTCCCACCACTACGCAGATTATCACACCTACCACTACACCTATCGCCAAGCCGACTCCGATCCCCAAGCCGACTGTAACCTCAAAGCCAACTCCAATCGCCAAGCCGACTCCGATCCCCAAGCCGATTGCCATCTCAAAGCCAACTCCGATCCAAAAGCCGGCTGCGATTCCTCTGTCCCAGAAACGTAAATCCTCTATCTCGGTCGCGCAACCTGCACCTGTCTTGACCGTTCCGCCTACCCCTCCTTCTACTCAACCCACGTTATCTCCCGCCAATGTCCCGACCAGTGAGGTTCAGCCCCCATCCTCCGAGGACCATGGACCAGAGACGGCTCTTCTAGAATACGCTAGGATTGAAACAGCGCGGGCCGCAGAAAACCTTGTCGATTCAAACGAAGCTTTACCCCGATCTCAACCTGAAACTGAACAAAATGCTCCCATCGAGAGTCGGCCAGCAAAGCGCGCTCGAACTTTGTCAACTACGGCTACTGCGGTCCCAGCTCGAAAGAAATCCGTATCCGCAGCGGCAAGCCGTCGAAGCTCCCAGTCAATTGTGCCTACCATCGAAGATTCAAGCGCAACGCCCGGTGGATCCAACCTTTCGACTCCGGACCCAACCAAGCCAAAGAAACGAAAGTACTCGAAGGCCGGTACCTCGGATCTCGAGGGTAGCGAAAAACCAAAGCGCACCCGCAAGAAGCGCGAACCCACCCCGGAAGGCGCAGAGACAGTTGAAATCTTGCCGAACGTTGTGAAGATGTCCGAGCTTTGCAAAGATCTGAGAACTGGAAAGAAGTCTAAGCGCGAGACAGAGTTACGCAAGATCGATCAAGCCGAAGAAGAACGGAAGAAGCAAGGCGGAACCCCTGGTCCAGGAACAGGAACGCCTGTCAAGCAAACTGAACCCGAACTGGAGAAATCCGAAAAGCCGGTCGATTGGAAACCCCAGAGTGGCCCCATTATGCGAATCGTTAACGGCGAGATCGTGCTGGATAGTACGTCCTTGCAGGTCGATCGTCACGCCGATGCGGCCCGAGCCGCCGGTGACCTCGAAGATGTGGTGGAAAGTTCGTTCACTCGGAAGATCAACCAGGCCTCGTACGGCAAGCGAACAAAGACCGAAACGTGGGACGAAGAGATGACAGATTTGTTTTACCGCGGGCTCCGCATCTTTGGTACCGACTTCATGGTTATTAGCAAAATGTTCCCGGGCCGGTCTCGTCGTCAGATCAAGTTGAAGTTCAACAATGAAGAGCGCCGTGATCCGCAACGAATCAAGGAAACCCTGATGGGCCCGACTGAGGTCATGGACATTGCAACCTACTCAGAGATGACCAACACCGTCTACGATGATCCCAAGATTGTTCAGCAAGAACTTGACGATGAAAAGAAGCGCATCGAGGACCAGCACGCTAAGGAGAAGGAGATGCAAGAGGAAATGCTACGCAACCCGACTGGTGGTGATTCCAAGGATGACAAGAACGATAAGATGGCCGTTAAGAAGTCCCGTAAGAAGGCGGGCCTGAAGAACCAGGGAGGCGGAACAGAGGAGGTTCTGGGATCGATCGATGACTTTCCCATGGCTTAAATCGGGGATACTAATGGAAATCTTATGAAACGAAGATTATAGGTTACGGCGTTTTAAGTGTGGGGTTACATGATACACATTGATCAAGCCAGGAGTTCCAGGCTATTATTTGCTAATTGATTTCTTACTTCATTACATTCCTCCTGTTGTACATGTACTAGTTTCATAATAGCCACAAGAAGTTACAGTCACGGGTTAGCGACCTGTTGCTTCTTTTTTCTTTCTTTCTCGAGGATATTTTTGGCTGTCTTTCGGTTTGTCTTTTTCCTCAGAGTCGGTAGCAAATGACAGGCGAAGACAGACATGAGATCACCTACGCCTGGTCGACCCGAACCCAGTACTAGCAGTCGTAGATGAAAACTGTGGTGGCGAGCGCGAGCTACCTTCACCTGGGTCATATCCACCAGACCTGCCCATTGGCATCCCGCCGCGCGATCCACTACCAGCCCGTCTCCCCATCTGATAACCCGCCGCACCGCCACCTAGAACACCAGTCCAGAAACCGGGCGTCCATCCCTGCTGACGACCAGCAGATTTGTAAGGATCGAAACTGCTGTACGGAGGCGGAGGATCATTTCCACCACCTCCACCTCCACCACCACCACCTCCCCCCAGAACCCGCCCCACCCCGGCGCCGGCCCCGCACCCCTACTTCGCCGATTCCCCCACCCGAAACATTGCGCCAACATAGGCCATAAGATCAGAATGAAAACAGCAGCAATGAACCCGAAGAAAATAAAATCCCCGAGCACAGCCATGATCTTCTGGACACTACTCTCAGACCGGTTCCTAGCCCAATCCCACTCCGAATCACTGCTTTTCTTCCCAAACCTCTTCTCTCCAGCCTCGGTCAAGAGTAGGCGGTACTCAACCCCACAACTCCCCTTCAACACCCACTTATCATCGGCATTCCGGTATCCCTCGCAGATGACATCTGTTGCGCCGAGCTTGAATTCTGCTGGTAGGTCTGTGGTGCATGTCCACTGCACGTCTTCGATGTCGTAGTCGTAGCCTTGGTTTGTGCAGCGCATTACTTCTGGTTGGTAGAGGTTGCATGTTTGTTTTGATGGGCCTGCGCAGCTAAGTTGTGGGATTGGTGAGATGCGTCGTGCACTTGTCATGCGGTGGGCGCGTAGTGTTAAGGTTTGGACGTTTGATAGTAGGATGGCGTCTTTGCCTGGTGGTTTTGAATTTGAGGCGCATGTTGCTGGCGAGATGAGGAGTAGGGCTGTGAGTGCCAGTTTGGGGAGACTGTGCATCATTGGATAGTTGAGAGCTGAACAGCTCTCTGGCTTGTGGTGTATGGTCTATAGTCTGCAGTACCTGGAGTATTGGTTGAGGTTGGTCTGAGGTTGTGGTTAGTGGTGGGCTTGATATGCCCAGTGTCGATTTCCAGTGATGTAGGCTCCGCTGTGAGTCAAGATGTGGCGATTATATTAAGGATTTCGTGTCCTTTACACTTGCTTGGACTGGGTGGAGAACAAATTGTGGAATAATCGAGCTCTGTTTGCTCTGTTTGCATAGTCTATAGACCCCTATTAACGTACAACTTCTCTTTTCTTTTTGATTCGCAAGTATCTTCAAACCGAATCACATTTACATCGTATCAAATTGCGAGCAAGATTCCAGCTCATCCGCCTCGCCAGTGACAGTAGTACAGTAGTATATTAGCGGCCCGGGGTGTCGTAATGCCTTAGGAGATCTGCAGTTCTCCTCGACTACTTCGTTCGTAGAGGACTCCTCAAGGATCATCACCCGAGCAATGAATACGTTTCCTCAGGATTCTTGATTTCATGATACAGCATTAAGGGCAGTACGACTTACTCCTTCGGAGACTACTCTCTACGTCTACCGGGAGCATTCGTCAATTCCCATATCGATATACTAGAGCACGTCGAGCACCGTCTAGAAATCTTGCGGACAAAGATCATGTGTGAGGCGGACACTACGCTATACTCAGCAGATCATGATCCTGCACGGGAGGTAGTAGTTGATCGTAGGTCTATACGGAATTACCGGAAATTTTCCAAGATAGTCGAATGGGCCAATGAGTCTCTAAAAAAGATCCATTAGATGAGATGTAAATCGACTCTTTAGGACACCGAAATCCCCACCAAGCAATTCATATGTAGAATAACCCCTGGGACAGCAAAAATTCCATTTTTTGAGTGTCCCGACAAGGGATCTAAATGCCTAGGACAATGGGTGAAGTTGACAGAGACTTTGTAGAAACATCGATGACACCGGCTGGAAGATGGTTGAAAACCAAACATGGCTATCAAATTTAGCAACTTATAGGGAGACAGAGAACCCCACATTGATTCTCGCTCTGCTGTTGGCGGGCCGTGGTAAATCGACCTAGGAACATGTTGGTCGTGAAAGTTCACCCATTTGTACTCGACGGACTCCATTGCCGCAGTTGAGAAAAGTTTATCAGAGCCGAATCACATACCAGTTGTTTTAGCCTCAAGTCCAACTCACAGAATGGGAAAATAATTACAACACATGCAGCTGCTGTGGGTAACTGTAGCAACATAACCCCCAAGGACACAATAGAGGCCCCGAAAGATAACACAGACAGCATCGAAATGTATACCCCCGGGCCTGGGTGATGTTCCTGCCCTTGCCACTTCGTATTTCTGCTCGAATAGCATGATCTTTGTTTGGTGGCCATGAAGTTTGCACGTAAGGTGAAGACAACAAGCTCCGGAATTCTGAAAAAGGCACTTCGCATACTGATATTTCCTCTTTTCCGTAACCACAGCTTTGCGCGTGTAATGCTGCTAGTTAAATACAGATTGGAGACAATGCATACAGAGCGATGTAACATCTCCCTACATCCGAGACTTGAAACCGCCACATTAATACGACAATCTCGGATACAGATGAACCTAAAGTTAGGGAGAATTATAATCAGCACGCTATTGCATAACAGGTGCGTTATCACACAGTGATTGCAGGGGCCTACGAAAGGGTATTTTGCAGCTAGTAACAATACTCGGGACTTGGCCTAGTGGTATTATATCCCATTTGGCACTGACTATTCTCTTGATCTAAGGCCTGCTATCTTTAGCGAATGAGGTCCCTGCACCTTGCGAAGCAAGGAAAACTGAGAGGGGTTTAGCATAGAGGCAAGGCACTTTACCTATCCGTCTGTGTAGACGGTCCAAATAGAAAGCTGCTTGGCCATTTACCAGGTACATCGTAATATTGCTTTAGTCATAATTTCAAATACAAAACTAAGCCCAATACAATTAGTAGGCGGCCCAAATAGCAAATTCCGGAGTGAGATAGGCTGTCCACCGCACGTAGCAGCCCGAACTAGTACTCAACCCTTGGGTTCCTTCAATACCTCAAATACATCTCGCGAAATTACTCTTTCTCCTTCTCCCACTAATAATATCTTCAATTTTAAAAGCTCAAGAAGGCTTCACTCGACCATGAAGACCCCAACGGAACACACTGTGACACAAGAACCCCCTATCTTCGACTTAACTCCACAGTCATTGAAAGAAGAGGCACTGAAAATCACCAATACCACCACCTCAATCTGGGATTTGGTGGTAGCCGGAGTCCAAATTGCCGACGCCTCTTTTGAAAACGCGATCTGGCCCATCATCCAGGACGAAAACGTCAAGTTTGAGAAGCAACGCCTCCTACTTTTCTATGCATCAACCTATCCAGCCAAAGACGTGCGAGATGCATCAAACGATGTTTCCAACATGCTGACTGATGCTGAAGTCGAACTATTCTCCCGACGAGACATGTTCCTCCTGGTTGACAGCGTAGTAACCAAAGCAAAGCACCGGGAATGCGCCCAGGATGAAGAGTCCAATCATTATCTGCAGAAGCTTCACCGACGCTTCCTTCAAATTGGATGCGGTATTGCCGACGATGTCCTCAGGAACGATTTCAAAGCAAAGATGAAGAGATTGAATCATCTTGAGAGAGATTGCAACAGGAATCTGCATGAGGAGACCACGGGCCTCTGGCTCACTCCGAATGAGCTAGAGGGCCTGCCCAATGCTATTTTAGATCGACTCAAAGAGGGCGAGGGCAGCCAAGCTGGTCAACTGTGGCTCCCCACAAAGACACCTTTTAGCGCCCCGGCCATGAAGAACGTGAAGAAGGAGTCGACAAGGAAGAAGATTTATTATGCTGTTGAAAACAGGATGGCAGGCAACGTCCCTCTCTTCCAAGAACTTGTTCTTCTCCGCGATGAGACAGCCAGGATGCTTGGGTATCCAAACCATTTCGCGCGGAAAACGAGCGACAAGATGGTTCAAGGCCCTCAAATGGTGGCTGATCTGCTGTCAGAGATTCGTGAGGCTGTGGCTCCTCTGGCTACGAGCGATGCGGAGGAGCTTCTCCAGCTCAAGCAGCAGGAGAAAGCCGCCTTCGTAGAATCCACAAACAAGGTCTTTCACTGGGACATCCCGTATTTCACCCAACGTCGTATTGAGCAGACCGAGACGCAGGAGTTAGTATTGTCCGAATACTTCGAACTCCAGATGACGCTTCAAAAACTGCTTCAGATGTTTCGACATCTCCTCGGAGCAGAACTCCGAATAGTTGATACTCCGCACTACCAGGGTCTCACTTGGCACGAAGATGTACAGATGTATACGGCTTGGAAAGTTGATGGCGAGACTGACAAATTCCTCGGTTACGCCTATCTGGATCTTTTCCCTCGGGAGGGGAAGTACAGCCATTCCGGACACTATGCATTGCAGTTTGTACGCATTTCATCTTAGGCCATATTCCAAGTTCTGCTTAATTGTCATTTTCTTTGCATCTTCAAGATATGAAACAAGGACTAATTGCTACAATAGGGCTACCAACGGCCTGATGGAAGTCGTTTCTACCCATCCTCAGCCTTGGTCATGAACTACGTTAAATCATTGCCCGATCAACCAACTCTTCTTAGCTTGGACGATGTTCGAAAATTGTTTCACGAACTTGGACACTTATTCCATGCCCTATTCACAAGGATCAAGTATGCAGGACTCTGCCCAGTGGATCGTGACTTTGTTGAAGCCCCAAGCAAGATGTTGGAGCAATTCTTCTGGGTAGAGCGCCATATCAAAGACATCTCCTATCATTATTCATATATTAGTCCATCAATGATGTCTGTTTGGAGGACTAGCAATGGAAAATACTCCGACCTACAGCCCCTGAAGCCACCGCCCGTTCAACTCGATGATACCCAAGCGGCAGCTCTATCCCGAAGAAACAAAAATGGAAATGTCCGAGCCCAGCTGAATAACTTATTCTTCGCCACATACGATATGATTATCCATAGCCCGGCTTCGAGGGAAGAGTTGCTGCGGACTAATCTCACGGAGCTGTTCAACAAGACGCGCTCGAATATCTCCGGTACTCATGGAGGAGAGGCACTAGGGGAGGGATGGGAATGGGGCCATGGCCAGACAGTTTTCCGAAACGTGATTAACAGGTATGATGCTGGATACTACAGCTACCTATTGTAAGTCTCTACTGCGTGCTTTTTCCCCACATATTTCAACTTCAGAAAACTGACAACATGCTCAGAGGCACGGTACTTGCTTTTGATATTTTTGAGACTGGATTTCGCCAGGATACAATGAGCAAAGAGGCTGGGCGACGATATCGTGACATGATTCTCCGTGTAGGCGGGAGCCAGTCCGAGATGAAGACTTTGAGAGATTATCTAGGCCGTGAGCCGACTACGAGACCCTATCTTGAGTGGCTAGGAGCTAGACCTCGGCACACATAACCATCGGGTCGATTTAACGCATATGCGGGCTACTATTGATCCAAACCAAGGGAGATCACCTGGTCCTTCAAGCATAGCTATTATTTATATCTCTAAATAACAACCTAGCTTTGAGGGACAGTTCCGGAAAATGATTTTACACATTGAAACCTAGAGCTTAAAGCTTAGACCCATATATACATGGAGTGTATCAAACTACGAATATCATAACTTCACAGAAAAGAAGAAAAGAAGACAAGAAGACAGATGAGAGTACTTGCCAACTCCGAGACGGTACAGGGCACCTTTCCAATTGAGCCGCTCCCCCTTAGGCTTAGCTCAGACTCAGTGAGCGGACCAGAACGCTCAGGGACGAGCTGTTGTACTCAGTGAGCAAAAACGTCAAGGCCTGAGCACTAAAATGGAAACGAAATGCCAAGAAGTGACAGCGGAAATCAAGTACCTAGGGAGGTTGGTCAGTAGGTTTGAGTTGTATCACGATTGAATTGTAGGTTTGAGGGACTTTGCAGATAATCGTCAATTCTCGAAATATTGTAATTTTTTCATGTTCCTGTTTCCGAAAGCTGACTCTTATAGCTTTTTAGGGTAGGTTGAGCTATTTAAAACGGACCTACACCCATCCCTAGAACTCAACTTTTGGCCTACGAGCGCAACGGACCTATATCCTTTTTAACCCCAATTTTCTTCTATCCCGAATCCCCTCCTTCGAAATGTCCCTGAGTCCGAAATCCGACATATTCACTTATGTTGATTTTGACCTGCAAGCTCTGTGCCGTTAAGCAAGCACGCTGCGAGAGGGTGTTTCATGTGTTTGTGACCCGGATCAACGTCCTGCCTCGGGAAATTTAACTGAAATATCTTCATTTCATTTGAGAATGGGGTACGATGGGTTGGCCTAGACGAGCTGATAGTCCAGGACTTGGCAAGTGAACACTCTAAACCAAGTAAAATCTCGTCTCTAATCAATACTAAGCTCGGGGCTGAGGGACAAATCATGTCCATGTTACGAATATTCGCAATATTTAAACTTGCGAGTTAGAGTAGCCGTTGTTTTGCTCTGATTTGATCTTATTTGTTGTTACAACGATATTCAAAAGGGAAATATGCTTCAGGGAAAAATGGAATATAACAAAAACATAATCAAATCACATCACATCCAAGATCTCTCGATACTGGCCATGTATTCCTTAACCGACAGCGATTGGTTACCTCGGCGAAGTTGATATGTGCCAGGGACACCCGGTGGTGGTGGAATGCTTAGCCATTCATGGCTACTATCACAGGCATAGCTTTCTGCATCCCCCGTTTTAAGACCTTCGAGACATTGTTCGCAAATATCTGCATTGCACCGGCGGCAGATGTTGCAATTGACAAAATTTCCCCACGATTGAAGGCAGATATGACAGTACCACACGCGATCTTCGACAACTAACGGCCAGGGTGACGCCATACGTTCCTCGGCCGAAGCGGAAGTGCCATCGCGAATAGTAAAAGGGCTATGGACGAGCTGGAGAACCGTGATAGCATCTTCATCATCGCCAATCATAGCAAAAAGATGCCCAAGGACACGCCATGCGCTCATAACATCATCCTCAATATATTTATCACGATAAGATATAGCCTGGATCACGTATGGTCTGAAGTAATTCCTGGCCTCCTGTTCGCGTCCATTGAGTTTATGCCATACGCCTATATAAATGCCCGTTTGGCCATCGAAGAGAATTTGATCAGTTGACAAGGATTTAATTTCATTGTCACAGAATTTCTCGAGCTCCTGTACGATAAGAGCTTGCGAATCCTCGGTTTCTCTTAGAGCGTTAGTTAGGAGCCGGTATGCGTAAGCAGTAGCAGCACGATTCCTTGCTCTGCAAAATCTTTCGTACTGGAGCGAGCCGGGCACCCTATGTTGGGCTATGATGCTCTTCCAAATTAGAATAGCTTTCTCTTCCTCGCCTAAGAAGTTGCAATATAGGCAAGCTAGCGACTCCTTGAAACACATGGCCTTGATATCCTGCTTTTTCGTGCTTTTATCCGCGATCGCACCCTGGTACTTGCACTCCAGCCATTGTAGGTTGTTACATCGTTTTGCTGAAACAGCAAATATCAAGGGAAGCTGGGTGTTGTCCCAAATGTGCCAATTCTGGGAATTGTGCTCGAAAACCCAAAATAAACAGTTGTCCCAGTCATACCAGGTTTTCAATTCGATTTTCTGGAGTAGCTGTATGATCCTTTCATGTGGCGAGTGTTGCGATGCAATGAGAACACGAATAACAAGCGACACGGCGTCGTCAATGTAAACCATATCGAAAAGCTCGATGGATGCCATGAACCAGTGAGTGGCGTTTGAGTAATCTCCCAACTGAATATAAAGTGAGCCCAGCTCATTGCGGACCTTAGATAATCGGCCTTGAGCCTCCGCTTTCTCAAGTTCAGCAATTTCATCGTCGTTGTTATTCTCCGCCAGTAGCTGTGTGTATTGCGCTTCACACTCTCTCCATAACTGGACGGAATCATCCAACTGACCCTGATTCCAATAGACCTTGGCAAGATCCCTCTTGACGTCCCATGTTGGCTCGAGTGCCAATGCATGATTCAAGTGCTCGATGGCCGCATCGAAATGCCCTAGAGAACTGAGACAAGCCCCGACATTGTGATGCCAGCGCGCGTTTTCTTCAAATTTTGCCCACCTAGCAACGTTCAGGACAGCTTCCACAGGATCAAGGGGTGTTATCAAGTCAGGATTGTCTCCGCCAAGAACAATAACAACAGCACAAACCGTGACCATGCAGAAATCTGGATCCCAGGAGTCGACGAGCCACCTGCTAGCCACTTCACGACCTAGGGGTACGAATAGTTGAGCAGGTTCTTGAATACAGACACGTATCCACTCCCGCATATCAATGTTGTCGACGGTATTGCCACCGTCTTGGGCGGCGAAAAGCGAGACAATCAAGTCAATAGTGTGACGATCAATAAACTCGATAAGAGGATCTGGAGCAGCGTTGGTGTGAAACATTTCCAGATTCGCACACTTGAAGATCTGGCAAAGTAAGACAATTGTTTCTTCCTTTTGCTGTTGATCAATTTTGTCTGAATATTTGCAAACATGCTCCAGTTGGTTCACCCACTCGTCAAGGGCGTAGTTACGCACATGGGACCCGCAGGGGCCATGACCATAAGCTATTTCCGATAGACAAACATTCAACGTATTCACGCTCGCCTGCACGAAATCAACGCCAATAGGTGTTGAGTCATCTCCTGCAGATACCTTTCCATAGCCTGGGTTGCGAAGGTAGTCTCGGATTGAAGCGTGGCAGAAGACGACTGTGGTTGTATACGTGTTGGAATTGAATTCATGCTCCTGCTCGCTGGAAGAGTCATCGTTCTCAGCCGACCCGTCATTTTCAGGTTGAGTAAAGGCCTTTCTTCCCTCCCCGGCTAAATCTGCTGTCGTCAAACCGTCGTCCCGATTGAGCACAAACAGCGAAGCATACTGTGTACGCAAAGCGTCCTCCAACCCTAGTTTACCATCGTTGGATTTCGACCCAACTCTTAATATCTCATCTAGCTCGCACAATTTCACGGGGCTATCTGCACATGCCACCCATGCAAGAATCGTATTGAGGTCAGTTGCCTCCTCCTCGTTCAGCCTAGTACTAAATGTCTCTAGGACATGTTTAAGCATTGCATCGAGGCCTTTGGGGGCCATATGAAGACTTTCAAGCATGCTGCTAGCCCTTGTCCTCCCATTAAGCTCTGTCAACATCAGGTCGGCCCAGAGGAACATGCCCTCTGCCTTGTCTATTAAAGTCTTTTCAATTGTCACGCGCTGTGGCTTCGTAACCCGGCTTATTGCCCGGGACTTGCGGATGGCTTTTCGAACATAGGTTGTGATATCCCCGATGTTTTTGTTGGCGTTGACATGGATGGTTGGAACATATTGGTCTAGAGCTTCCATCAGGTCGTCGTATATTTCTGGTCTCCCAAGGAGAACAATTTTGATGCGACACTTGACGGGATCTAATTAAGTCGATCTATTAGCATCTCTTCCCCACTGACACAACTTGGTGCACTAGTACTCACCGTGCACGAAGTCCGAGGTTAGCCTTAGAAACTCCTGATAGTCCTCTTTAAATGCTTCATCTATACCATCAAGGACAATTATCACCTTACTATCAATGTCTTCGAGTGTATTGTGATAATAATCCATGAACAAAACCCTCCATGCTGCCTGGATGGATTTAATGTCGTCGGGGGAATGGCAGCGCGTATGGACATAATCCCTGTAGGAAGGGTCGTTCTGATAGACTTGAAACGAAATATCCCGCAACGCACGGTGGAACTTCATTGTCTCGGGATCGATATGCCTGAAAAAAAAGTACCCAACTGAAGTATGATTTCTCTGAGTGGCGCATTGAGGAAAGAGCTCTTGCAAATAAGAGATTACGTTCTGCGCGATAAAGCTCTTACCACATCCTGGACTACCAGATACCCACAGCAACGGGTTATCATCCTTTTCAACCCATGCCTGGAATACCAACTCATTCCTGATCCAGTCTCCAGTGCCCGATACCCGTCGCTTGCCGATATTTTGATACATGTCGAGGGGATAGACAGAGGGTTGCAGAACTTCCTTGATGCGCTCAAGGTTTCTTGGGGAAGGAGCCATCCAGTGGGCTGGTTTCTTCCTGGAATTACTCGCATCACTAGACGCAGGAAGCAGGTCAAGAAGCGCCTTTGTGTAAGCCACTGCTGTAAGCGCTGCGTATCCTTGCCATTGTTTGCTTTTATGCGAGTCACAATAGTCGCAGATTCCTCGGATAACAAGACACGACAGCTGATCCATCAGGCCGGCGGCTTCCATTTCGAAACAGAGGATGTCCATTTCCTGTGCTAGAGCATCTCTTCTCTTGGGGTCTTTCATAACCTGATTCCCAGAAGCAATCAGACCGTAATGGATGTATGGCTTATTAGAGTCTCGCGGCTCACGAACGTCCAACTGATTCTGGTCGCATGCTGAACAGTCCGTATCTTCACTTTTAACATGGTGATAGCTTGGCTTGAATAGCCAGTCGTTCTCTGGCCGTGAAAATTGATCTCGAACTTTCTTGTCTTTTTGGAGTATATCTGATATCGTTTTCTCAATCAGAGTATCTTTGACCAAATCATCACTCCGCATTTGTGATATCGCCGTGAGCAAATATCGAGGCGGCTTGTTGAGTGACCCAGTTTGCTGAAAAGATCCATTGGAGAGTGTCTTTCCATAGTCATACTGGATGACGCCCCCAAAGGTCGAAGCAGAAGTTGGCATACTGACAACTACATCTCCAAGGCGAATATCATTTTTTTTACTGGGCACACCACCTCCGATGCCTACCATAAGTCCAAATCGGAGAGAAGGGAACGTCGATAGCATTTGGTCAAGCACAATCGCCGCAGATGTAGTTCCATAAACACCCGAGGGCAGACAGGCAATAACAACATGGTGGCCACTAACAGTCCCAAGTGTATAGACGTTGTGGTCGGTTTGTGGCTGGAATAATGGAGGATGGACTTTCTCCAACATGAGCTTTGCCGCTGCCATTTCTAGTGGCAAGGCGCAGATCCATGCTATTGTGTAATAATCATGTGTAAAGGCCATTTTAGGGCTTCGTAGATGAACTCACAAATAGATTGACCAGCATCCTGCACCTGATAATGATGTTGGGAAATAGAGGGGCAGCGATCACGTGTCTAACACCATCCCTGTTATCCAATACTGCGAGCTGATTTCAAGACTGTAATTTTTAATTATTTGTCAAAAATGAAGGATTACATACATAGGGTTGTTCATAGATGATTTACCCAAAATCCCATGTGACCATTGAACTGGTGGAATCACACAAAAGTGCATATTATTATTTGTCAACCTGTTGAAATTCACTGAATTCACCGTTGCCAAACTGCAGTTTATGTATTTGGTAAGCGAGTGGCTACCTGCCTAGCTCAAATTTGGGTTCCCGAGGCACGGGCCGTTGCGGCCAAAGGTCCCCCAGGTGAGGTACCAAGTCCGAATACATGGTAGAAATAAAACCAGGTATTAAACCGGAAACATTATATGACATTGGGTACCAGGCATACCATACAAAAGTGTATATTACAGTTAGTCATCGAGGTCCACACAGATTGTTGAAATAGCGGGTTTTGTCATTTTAGTTAGAGTCTTCAACATTGGTCATCTATACCATACATTGTTCGTACACCAGCTTTCTGTCAGATGTTTCTGACTGGTGGCATATTATATAATCATAGGGGACTCTTGCATGCCTTGAAAGCCATCATCTTGTAGCGCCTCCTAGCTTCCGGGCGCATCTATCGGATATCATGTCTATGCTAAGCGATGAAGATCTCGGTTCTGAATTCGCGTCTCAACAAAACCCAGGGTTCATTATGGAGTCATCGCGTCGGGTAACCAAGTCATGAAAGATGCCTGTACCCGAGATAAGCAAAGGACCTCGGGATTATTTATTTCGAGATGGAAGCCGCTGGACTTATGAACCATTTTCCTTGCCTGGTGACCAGGGGTATTTGTGACTATGCCGATTCACACAAGAATAAGCAGTGGCAAGGCTATGCTGCTCTAGCAGCAGCAGTGTATAGCAAGGAGTTGCTTTCAGCGATCCCTTCCACGCACGAAGAATCTTCTCTCCAGCTAAATTTGGTGTGAGCGCTCGTGGTTAGTGTCTCTAAGCCTTCAATCGTAATATGTATTTACTCACATCTACGCAAGACAAATTTTCCGTCTGATTTGGTTCCATCGACATAACCATCCTTTGTCGGCAGAGAACAGGAATTAACTCAGATCCATATCAAGCTCCAACCTCAAAGCTCCGGCAAAACCATTATTCTACATGGCTTAGGAGGCATCGGAAAAACCCAGCTCTCGCTCGCACACCCAATGCGTCATACCGAAATTTGTTCAGCGATATTTTGGTTTGATGCTACAAATGAAGTAAGCATAGCCGCAGACTTTCTGAGGATGGCAAAGCGGATTTTGCTTAACCATCCGCATTTGGTTGATTTAAAAAAGATCATACGCGATATCGATACTGCTCCCACCAGTGTCGTGGAATGGGCTAATACATGGTTGAGTGATCGAGGGAACGATGATTGGCCGCTCATATACGATAATTATGAGCCGGTTCCAGGGTTTACGATGGACCCATGGCTGCCAGATGTGCGACAGGGTCATACAATAATTACTACCAGGATACCTGGGCTTGACCTTGGGGGATCTATTCCTGTTACGAAGATTGAGAACATGAAGCATAACGGGAGATCCTGTGCCATACATCGGGCCGCCAAGATTTGACCCTAGGTGAGCCTTTCAATCATGCTACAATTGTGTCTTGGTTTTGCATACTGAATATTTGAAGATCCCGACTTGGATAAGTTGGTTACTGAGTTAGATGGATTGCCATTCACCTTGGCAATTGCAGGTCAATACCTCCGCCATACGGCTATGAGCTGTCGTGACTATATGAAACTGCGCAATGATCATCGGTCGTTTGTTAATGAGAGTTCGAGTCGATCGCTTCCTTTTAAGGACCATGACCCGCTAGAGCTGACTTGGAGCCTTTCTCTTTACCAACTGCAGAAAAAGGACTGGATGGCTCAGTTTTATCTTTCCGTATGGGCTGCTCTTGACAGCCAAGACGTGTGGTTCGAACTTATTGAGAACGCCAATCATTTTCCGTCACGTGGAGCGGAGGTTGGGAACCGAGCTTCCTTTCATGGCGCGATGAAGCTACTTTGCGAATACGGGTTTGCTGAAATTGGACCAGTCGTGGGTGAGGTTACGCATGAGTCAAGAGGCTACACTTTGCATAGGTGTATCCATGGTTGGATGACGCGCATAATACTGGCTGGGGATTTTCGAGCCGATATACTGATATTTGCGTTTGTTCTTGTTAATATGCATTCCGCACGGTCGAGCGTTCGAAAGATAGCTGTCAATCATCGACTGCTTTCTCACGCCAGTCATCTACTACGCATCTCGACTAGCACCTTGGTGCCCGTGAAAGACGGATATCTTGTTGCCCAGCAACTCTTCAGACTGTCTGGCATTTTTCTGTTAAACAGATCTTGGCTTTCGTCACCGACTTTGACAGTGTGGCTCGACATATTCCAAATCAATCACCCAATAACTCCAAACTTGCTCAGACAAGAACAGTGTCACCGAGGAGTCATCGCCCTTTGTAAAGACATGGAAGGGAAAGAATTCAAAGATCTGCATCGCGACACTCTCCAGCTCCTTTCTGATGTCACCGAAGTTAGGGGAACCTGTAACAACATCAGGATAAAATGGCTGGAAAACCGTTCTTGTCGCATATTGTCCCATCCTAACCAGTATATTTGTCCCCGCTGCTTTCAAAACTTGCACGTTCATATTATTCCCTACCCTCTCATTCTTTTCTTGATACTTTCTTTCGTTTGTGATTTTGGACCTTTTACTCAAATTCAAGACCCCGATCGACCTCCGGATCTCGATTTTGCTCTCGCAGCTCAGCCTCATTCTAGCCTATGCAGGTGTCCCGCGCTGGAAGCACCGTTACAAAGCCTTCGGGCTGAGCCTAACATTGACGATCGTCGACCAGTTTTATAACTGGTACATCAGAGGCCCTAATCGGACCTGGATTGTTCACGCTATGACCATTTTCTGGAATTGTCCTCAGTTTTACGCTATTGAACGATTTGGGACGTTCTATCTCTCAGCTCATCCCCTGCACATAGGACCTGAAGTAAGCCAGATTTTGTGGTTTTTCATCGTTGTCTTGGTGTTTGGGAATGCTTTTTGGATATTTGCCCTTACCGAAGTACCGTTAAACTGAGTCCATAACCAGATTCAGTTGTGAAAGTGGTCACTGTGGTGGGATTAGCACGCCGACCTTTCATTTGGATTAAATGTTGAGCTGCACGGGGAATAGAAAAGTCCCAGCAAATGTACTAGGCTATAAACACTGGCGATTGAATTCACCGATCTCGCCCTAATGGGCATAGTCCCTTGTCAAAATCGGAACATCACTACCATTGACACATAGGAGGCCCTATGTTGCAGTATCGATGTTTTGTGCTATTTGTCTTGGCCCTGTTGCCTTTTGGGCCTCTTGGAATCTCATAGTCGTTCTGCGCCAGCTCACCCTGTGGATAGAACAATTAGACAAGTCTTTCATTCTATTAACAATACCTATAGAATCCTGCATGATCACATACTACCATGATTTCATAATCAATAATACGGATAGATCTGATGAAAAATTACCATCAATCAGAGTGTTGTTGTTCACATATCCACTCGTCCCAAGGTAACATGTATGGAACCTTTAAATTTCTATGGCGTAGAATAGTTATGTCCAGAAACAAGATCTATCCCCTCTGATCTGCTGGCTACCATAAAAGCTTGAAGCCCCATATTCAAAGAACATCCTCGGTGGCCTAGTTATCGCCTCCGTGCATGTAATATGTCATATTCGGTCTCCTCGTGGGGGTCCTCGGTGTTCTCATCCAAGTTCTGGCCATTCATAAATTCCATAATCAGTTGCCTGGTCCAAGAAGCTCTTTCACGAATTCTAAAGGGAAGAACTTCTCCCTTCTATCTTTTAGTTATTTATAAGACAGCTTGCACGAAAATGAGGGAAATAGCAGTGGGGGAGGAAATACGATAGTTGAGGGACAAAGAAAGGAAAGGGAAAGTGAAGAAAGCAATCGAAGCCCTAGCAACTAACTCCCATTTATAGCGAACAAAAAAACGAGAATTATCGAGGGGCGGGGGAAAATAAAGGCCATAGGGGAAATAACTGTGCAAATCGGCCTAATCTGGTTGTTTTTCTAATTGATTGTCGTTTCGGCTAAAATAAATGGATCTCAATACTATACAAGATTCTACTTGTATGTTCAGCTCGCAAGTAAATTACATAACCAAAAACTATGTGCCGTTCCGCAGATACTGTAGCGCACTCACCATAGCAACACCCCGTAGATATTGCAGTTCATTCACCATAGCAACATGCGGAATAAGTATTACTGGTATGTGGGTTTATAAACTTTTTTCCTGCTTTCTCACTGCTTACTTTCTTCTATTCCTCCTGGATCCCTTCTGTTACCTTGGATATTTCCACTTTTCCGTTGAATAAGATTGAGAGAACCCACGAAGTGCCACTTTCACCATGGAGAATTATCAGAAAATTGAGAAAGTTGGCGAAGGTGACATTTTTGCCGTGTCTGTTTGGCATGGTTACCACTGAACTCTAGCTAACGCACATCTTGTTTACCACAGGAGCATACGGTGTCGTCTACAAGGCTCGAGAGCTGAACTATCCTAACCGCATCGTTGCTCTAAAGAAAGTCCGACTCGATGACGAAGACGAGGGTGTCCCTAGTACATCCATCCGAGAGATCTCTCTTCTCAAAGAAATGAAGGACGAGAATGTCGTTCAGTTGCTGAATATTGTACATGTCGATAGTCACAACCTCTATCTCGTCATGGAGTTCTTAGACTTGGATCTGAAGAGATATATGGACGCCCTGCCTGTCAGCGAAGGTGGCCGTGGCAAGCCTCTACAGAATGCATCGATAATAAACCTCGGTTTAGACAAAGCAATGGTGAAAAAGTTCATGGCACAGCTGCTTGAGGGTGTTCGCTATTGTCACAGTCATCGTATTCTACATCGTGATCTAAAGCCGCAGAACTTGCTGATTGACCGGGATGGTAACTTGAAATTGGGTGACTTTGGACTGGCTCGGGCTTTTCTTGTTCCCTTGAGGAGGTATACACATGAGGTAAAACCCCTAGTCAAAGAAATCATTTCTAATCTTGAATATTAACATGGATTCCCTAATAAGGTTGTGACTCTATGGTATCGTGCCCCAGAAATCCTTCTTGGTAGTCCCTTGTACTCCACCGGCGTCGATATGTGGTCTGTGGGGGCTATCTTTGCTGAGATGTGCACACGCAAGCCTCTCTTCCCTGGTGACTCAGAGATTGACGAAATCTTCACGATTTTCCGGTAAAAGAATCTTGTTTTTTTCCATCTATATATTGAAAATGGAATTGACTTCTCCATTTTATAGCCTCCTTGGTACTCCTGACGAAGAGAGCTGGCCCGGTGTTACTACGTTACCTGACTACAAAGACACCTTCCCTAAATGGAAGCGTCCCAGCACCCCTCTAGTACCTGGCCTAGAGAGTGCTGGTTGCGAGCTACTAGAGGCTCTTCTCCAGTACGACCCCACGGAAAGGCTTTCTGCAAAGCAGGCTTGCCTCCATCATTACTTTCGCAAGGGAAGTTCATACTACTCTGGACGCGCGCCCACTGAAGCAGCAAAGAAATGATCAACAACACTGCGACCGTCATTACTTTTGAGGTCGCAAATATGATAGACGCTCCCTCAGAAAATAGTTGCCAAATAAGAAGCTTGATATAAATCGTCCCCACTGCTAATATGCCATGTTCCTTTTCTGAAGAATAAAACGGCTTTTCGTACCACCCCTCCGTGCCCAATGACTGTAAGCGTTGCCCGAAGGGTTGACACGAATCAAAGTCAATCAACATCGGTGATCCATACTTAACCATAATTTTATCCGGTTGATGTCGTTATGAGCTAGCCCTGAGGTGTATAGGTGCTCCACAGCTGACTTGAGAGATTCGAAAAAATTGACCTTGCAGAGTTGTTGGAAACCGGAGGTCGACACATACTGGTTCAGGTTCTGATCAAGTCACTCGAGAACGATCGACGTGATATAACAGCGTCTCGCACGACAGCCGTAAACACCGAATTATATTTTAGTGAGGCGATTATGAGATCCGCTCCATGACGATTGTCACATCAAGAACGGCCTTGGGGAGATGGGTTGTGCCTATCATATCCTCGTACCACTGTAGGCCTGGTAATTCATGTGGATTAAAGAAGCATCCAGACCTTATAGTGTAAGTGTCAAGTGCGCGTTGACAGGAATCTCTGGATAGATATTTTGATCCTGGAAGCGTCGCGGAGATGAATTGAATTGCCCGATGGTCATTTCGCCCTTATAATTTGATGTGTAGCAGAAGAAAATCTTTTCATCATCCATGAAATGGTAGAAAGTAGTGAATTTCAACTTTCCATCGCTCCACGACTCAACTATTGTCAAGTCTTGGAGTGATTTTACCAATGGGAGATCTTGATCGAACTCAATCTCGTCCTCGAGGCTGGTTGGGTCCACAAAACTCATAATGAAAGGCATAAATATAAGAGGTTATATCGTCTATAGCATTACTATACAGCACAGGAAAGAGCAGAGAATTGAATTCCATGATAATACCTTCCATCTTCTGATTGGGAGTTGTAGTTGGTGTCCTAGCCAACAAGCTATTGTATATCAATTCCCCAATATTTCTCCAAAGAGCTCAACGAGAGCTTTAGTACTTAGCCGACTGAGTCTTTCTTCATTCAGACAGTGGGTTTGGATCAAATCTCTCCGCAAGTTGGTCGAGTTGATGTCGGTAGGGTCGGGCCTCAAAAACTGTAAATAGTAGCCCTTCCTCTTCGGATAGCTGTCATCCACCCCGTTGCACGTCCACAGCACCACCTCTTTCTCCTCATTCACCGTGTCCCTCTCTACTACAAATCAGCCATCCATTACGCAAAAGGAAAAAAAGAGAACAGAACACAGGGACTTACCCTTCCCGTTATCATAACGAGACCACTCCCCAAAACCTTTCCACATCGCAGGCCGTCCATCGTCCCGAAAATGCTCGGCGACGTGTCTCGCCTTATTAGTAATCAACATTCTCGGTAGCTTGTACGGATAGTTGTCCAGCGGGTCATCCAGTTTCAAATTATCTGGCCCGACCAGATGTGCAAACGCCACCTTGAACCCGTCCGCCTGCGTCAGCTGCACCACCGTCTCCATAAACGGTTTCAACGGATACCAGGTACTACTCCACACCCAGACGCGATCCTTTGGGATATTTGGAATGGCGGCTAGAAGATCTGCACGGCGGCTTTGGCTGAGGAAGAAGTCCGGATGGCTGCTGGCGAGCTTATTGCGGAGGTGGAAATCCTCACTGGGGAGGATGAGCACCGCTGCAGCTCCGAGTTCGGGTCGGAGGCCGGAGAGAAGCACGTTCAGGTGACCCTTGTGAGGGGGATTAAACGATCCCCCGTATATGACGATCAGGTTCTCGTTGTCTGCTTGAAGGGTTACGTCCAGGTGTTGGATCTTGTTGAGATCCGAGTGGGAGGTCAGTCGGACGACCTTGAGTGATTGTTCGATGTAGTATTTTAGAGACATAGCTTGGGGAAATTGAGAAGCAGATCTGGCTTGCGATGCTTGGACGGGATGGGGGATTGTCATGCTTCTTAAAAGCAATTTTAGGTCATTAAACTACCATGCTCCCCGTTCGCTAGACGCCAAGAACATAAGCCCTATAGGACTCGGTCTGTTACATCGTGGCGGCTCGGTAATACCGAGCAAAATACTAGTTGGCCAACAAGACCACTGTCATACAGCGTAAAAACCCCTCCATCGGGACCTTGAGGCACATCAATACGATGTATCTGAAATAAATCCAAATCTCTCCATTCATTCTCGTATCCACCACTTCGTCCATTCCACGCGAATCCAGCATTCTTTTTTATTGGACTATTCTGCCAATTTCCGTCTCATTCCACTCTCAGAGGTCTAGCGGGGAAACGAACCAACAAGCACCAAAGATAACCACCGTGGAGGCGGGAACAGATAGTCCCCCATCGAGCTTTAACTTGAGCCTTTTGCTGACCATTCCAGCCCCGAGAACAATCAATGGAACAGTGGCAATATGAACCTCGCCCCATGTATCAGGGAATGAAACCCGCGAGGTCAGGTCTTCTGTGATGCTCAACCACTGCGCGACCGCCACAGCCGTCGAGATGATCAGAGCTGCGTACGGAGTTGGGAGACCCTCATGGTAGAGCGACTTCCCATAAACGTCCTTGGGTGTCAAGTGCGAAGAGATATTGAACCTGGCGAGTCGGGCGACACCACAGAGGACGAAGAAGGATAGGATCGCTTGATCTGCCGGGGTGCGGAGTCCAAGACTGTAGAGCATAAATACCGGAGCTAGGACAAACGAAATCTTGAGATTTTTAGTCTAGTACAATAGTAAAATAAAGGAGAGTGGCGTATGTGCTGTACATACGAGATCAGAGAAGCTGTCGAGTTGTTTTCCCATTTCGGAAGTTTCGTTACGCCATCTCGCTATCATTCCGTCGAAGCGGTCGAATTCATACCCCAGAAAAATCAGTACGTGAGCTGTGATGAAGGACTGGTGTGTGGATTTAAATATAGCGAGGACTATTAAATGTTGTTAACTCTGAGGTTGAGCAATGTTGTAGGCACTAGGCTCTCTTGTTTTGTTCTCACCTCCACAGAATGCTAAATTGGTTAGCAATCCAGGTTTTCAGAGTGTTTTTTGAACAAGATACGTACCATTTGACAAGGTCACATAATCGGCAACCTGAAGACGCCTATGGATCATTCAGTCATGTCGCAGGTAATTCAAGGAAGATAAATGTAAACATACCTCAGCATATCAAACTTAACCTCCTTAGCGACAGTCATTTTTTGTTCAACACAAAAATCTAGTATTGTGATGGAATAACCAAGTGCCCGTTCCCCCATTTATAGCTCATATTGGCGAGAATGCACACAAAAACCCTACCAGATTCAATATTATTATTTTTTTCTCGAGGGGCAAGCAATGGTCAGTACGACCGATGGATGGGGATTGTATGCGTATTTCATTCGTAATACATGTACCTGTATTCTCAGCGTATCGAGATCGAACGAGTATGTTATGCAAACGAGTATGAACAAACACCAACGGAGTCCGGTGCCCAGATCCATAGACCATGTAGCGGCGGTACGGAATATTTGCCCCGGTTTCAGGATCTTCCAAGGTTGGAAGTTAGTCTCCTGTACGGTCAGCCAGGTCTATAGTCCCGTTCTCTATACATAAATGGCCCATATGTTTTGGTCCCCACTGTGTTGCCAAGAACCTATAAGGGCTTGAAATACACGTAGGTATACGGAGTACTCCATACAAAGTACCTGCATAGTGCAGTGACTCTGCAAAAGTACTAACATCCCTTCTGTTGCCGTCTTTCCAATTAACCATACTGCCCATCACCACTTAGTTGTTGATTGTGGATATCTAACTGGCAGAATCTAGGGTGCTAACACTTTCGCGGAGTCAATACAACACAGCCCCACCAGCGTGGGTTCCACGGTTTTGGGTATGGGCCGAGGTCTAGATCTATGCATGGAGTTAACCTTGGAATAGGTACCTGGGTAGCGACATGGTGGATTCATTTTATCTGGTTTCAATCACAAATTTGAATCTGTTGTCCGGATCACCGCTACTAGGTAAAGTTCAATGTTCAAATGTTGTATGACGCACTAGTTAACAAGATTCATACGTGCCCAAGTGGGCAATAGTTCCAGTTTACATAACTTATGCAGTCAGTTGGACGGCGGTGTTCTGACCGTTATCATGAATATCACCGTTGCTCTCAATACCATAGATAGGAGCCTTGGGTGCCTCACTGCTCTCATCCACTAGCCAGTCTAGATCCAAGTATGTGTGTGCAAACATCTTGCCAGCCTTAACAGCTCTGATGTCTGAAAGAACCATCTCTCGCACCAGGTCATCGAAGGTGTACTTGGGCTGCCAGCCAAGAACCCTTCTGGCCTTTTCCGCCGAACCAAGCAAAGTTTCGTTTTCCAGAGTTCGATAGTACTTTGGATTCACTCGAACATGGACCTTGGAACTGACGGAGTCAGTACCAATTTCGTCGAGGCCCGTACCGGACCATCTGCACTATGTTAGGCAGGCCTTGGTTTAGGTCCTGAATAAACTCGACTCACTTGATTTTGACTCCGATGATCCCGAAAGCGGCTTCAACAAATTGCCTCACGCTGTATGCCTGACCGGAGGCAAGAACGTAGTCTCCCCCTTTGGGCTGTTGGAGAATAAGATGTGCGCCGTACATATAGTCTTTTGCATGACCCCAATCACGGACGGCATTGAGATTGCCTAGCTCGAAGCTTTCTAACAGTCCACAGGCAATCAACGCAACTTGGGTAGTGATTTTGCGCGTTACAAAAGTGGTACCTAAACTCAATGTTAGCCCCCAGCTCTGCCTTTTCCAGGTTGGAAGGGTGCCTGTATATACTAACCCCGTCGGGGAGACTCATGGTTGAAGAGAATCCCATTTGAAGCATGAAAGCCATACGCTTCCCGGAAATTAACAGTAGTCCAATACTGGAATTGTTTGGCTGTAGCATACGGCGACACAGGGTGGAAGGGTGTCTCTTCTGTCTGCGGTGCGGGCATGTCGGATCCGTACAGCTCCGATGTACCGGCCTAAAAAGGGCTCGGAATTAGCGTCCTTATGTCGCCACAGTGGTCCTACTTACGTTGTAGAATCGGGTGGTCTTGCCCAAACCAAGAACCCTCATAGCTTCAAGTAATCGCAGAGTTCCCATTGCATTGGTATCGCTCGTGGATAATGGCGTCTCGAATGAAACGCCGACATGAGACTGCGCCGCAAGATGGTATATCTCGTCGATATCCTGGATGCTGCCAAGTATCTGAATGAGCCTTCCCAGATCAGACATATCACCATAATGAAGGGTCACCCCCTCTCGCAGGGGGCGATTCAGAGTCTGCTGTCTCTGGGCGGAGGGCCGAACGAGACCGTGCACTTTGTATCCCTTTTCCAGAAGGAGCTCGCAAAGGTAGGAGCCATCTTGGCCACTGATGCCTGTTTGCACACAATCAGCATTGCATTATTATTAGATGGGTAAAGATTACGCACCCGTGATGACGGCCAGCTTGGGATTGGACTTCAACTTTTTGACAGCGGCCATTGTTGACTGTATAGGCGTCTAGGAGATCTTCACGTATAGAGAAAAGATGTGTAGGATGTAGGATAAAATATATTGGGTTGGTGCTCAACCTTGGAGGATAAGTGGATTTATTTAACGGGACATCGACCATGTACGGGAGTATCACTATGCCGTAAATGTCAACCAAACTCGAAGAGCCGTCTAGATCTCTACCCTGTCAAGGCCTCTCGGTGGTGGAAGTGGGACTCCCGCATATGCACATCAGGCGTGTATTGGGACCGTAGATATGGAATTCACTTATGATAATATGGGCTAGTTCAGGCTAATGCATATACGGAGTATCAGGAATCTAATTCTCGTTCATAGCCGTGTTAAGAGGGCAGTCTACCTTGGTAGTAGATCAATGATTCGCATCCACCCCCTATCCTCAGCTATTCGTGAAGGTCATTGCCGTCGGAGTCCGCGATCAACTACATATATCCCGCAGATACATCCATCTCACTCTTGTGAAATGCCATACTTCAGTGTACAGTTGCGTTTCATGAGTATTTACACCCCAATACTTCTACTGTTGACCGCCGTGCCTATACCACCCGCTTATTACTACTAGTATGAACCCCACATACGCAGCAGGGTTACAAGTGAGTGGATTAGAAGTTCTTCCAGTAGAAAATAAGTGGTTTCCGAAGCACTAGGGTGCAAATATCAAGAAACATGACTCACGCCTCCTAATCTAGCATATTGTCTTGTGAGGTATCATGGCATCACTGTATCGGGCAAACTATAGACCCTGAAGGTCATATTATGCCATCTTAGTTGAGATGATGCTAGATCCTACCGTTGCATTAGGTCTGCAGGTAAATATAATGTAACTCTTGATATGCGATTAATTTCTTTGCCAATTTTATCCTGACAAGGGTCCCTCCAAAATAAGTTGCTTAATCTTTGAACACAGGAAGTGGCAGGCTTGGCTGGTAAGGTCATGGTGCAATATCTTCTATCCCTTGAAAATTTTATGTTTATTCTCATATTACGCCATACATCTAGATATCTGGTTATCTAGGCCTTCTACTGAGCAGTTGCGTGATGGCGTATTTGACATACGTCTTTGCTAGACTTATCATGCCTGGGACTTACCAGGCTATGAATGACCCAATAATCATTTCGGAGACAATATATCCAAGCATATTGAAGCGAACTGGAGCAACCTGTCTTGATTTTGACCTTTGTCTTCTCATAAACAGTTTATTTGGACACACTTGTAGTTATGCAGTTAGTATATCTGCCCAATGTAGCTATAGTGTCTTTCGTACTTTATTTCACCACCATGATTAGCAACCTATTGAAAAAAAAAAGAATGAAAAAGAAAACGGTGATGAGCCATTAGAAGCAGAATTGACGACAGATGCATGGTTGTTCTCATCACCAGACACATGAATGTTACGGGATTTGCTTTGCTCCGACGGGTGTTTAACAAAAGTGCTCATGTATGGGCCAAGTCCTCGGCGGCAAGGATTCTATAGACCTTTTTTGGCAAAGTTATACTATACTAGTGTCGTTGGCGTATAGTGGCGTATATCGGCCGGGTTGGCAGGGTATATTGTTGGTGCCTACTACGTACTCGTACCGAATGAAAGCAACTCGCTGCATAAACAATGTTCTGGCCATAATCCGTAGATGCTCATATTCTTCGTTTTTCTTTTCATTTCTCTTAATATATAACTGTGGACCCTACCTACCAACCCCATTCTAGTAGATGGCCCGGATGTCACGTTTGCAAACTCGGAGCCGAGTGCATTGGTATTACATAAGTCTTGTTGGATAAAGGTCCACGCACGGAACATGTACATCTGTGTATGTTAGATCTTTTCATTTTGGGTGTTGCATTGAGAATGGGGTGCTCTTCTTCCTCATCCGATTCCTAAGGAAATGGTTTCATGTCACAACCTGGAAACCGGCCACAGAATGATTAAAATTGGCTATTGTGTCAGGAAGATAATTGAGACATCCTATTGTTACTCCTAGTAGTGTTATTCACACGCCTCATAATCTAGCAAGAAGTAATCAATACAATGTCTGAATATTTCCCCTGAACACGATGTCTATATGACAAGGCTCGATAAATTTAGACTGATGATAGATAAAAGGGAAGATAATGAAATACGGTGAGGAGATGCGGTATAGTACCATGAAAGAGAGAAATTTCTACAAGTAAGCACGCCAGTCATGTCCAGGGCTTGCAAACCCAGATATGGCCGTCTTATGGATGTGCTCTTGCTGCAGTCTCTTCCATCTCGTCATGGCTATCCGGCTGCATCAATCCAATCTCATTCAGGCCATCTTCATCATCAATATTGTCATAACTCCTAAATGCCGCCCAGAAAACCGGAGCAGCAGCAATCATCGTTGCCGCTAGTCCTGTGTACATGTATATCACCTTCGGATCAACCGCAACTGGTGAGAGAGCCATCCCCAAAGCAGACCCAATTGCAGCGGTCACCTGTCGCAGGGCCTGCACCAGGCTGCGCATGTCCTTTGGTGCTTCTGAGTAGCTGTACTCAGACAGAGTAGTAAATCCCAGGATCTCGGCGAAGGCGAGCAGGAAATAGGAGGGGGTTTGCACCCAAACACTGATATTGTTGGGTATTTTACCCCCGTCCGAATCGGCGCAATTCCGTGGAGACTCATAGCACGGTCCCCGTGTATAGATCAGCTTTTGCAAACCTGCAGCATAGCCCATTGACGAGCTGATCGTAATAAACGACCAAGTCATACGGGAAATCGACCCGAATGCGACACCGTACGTTTGAAGCCCGGGATAAAGAAGCTGCTGGATGATCGGACCGAGCAGTACACAGGCAATGGGGTTCAGTGCTTGAATGGTGTCGTTGGGGATAACACCCAGCTTCATTTGACCCGCTTGAGAGACAAAGTTATTGGTGATTTGGTTCATACATAGGTAGAATGGTACAAAGCAAGCCCTAGCACCAATATTAGTAAAGCATATTGACCGACTTTCATGGCGACAAACATGACTTTGCAGGCTTTGAGGCCCCTTTTCATCTCCAAGACAAACAAATTATCCCATGGAACTGTTCTACCATATTTCTCGGCTTGGAATCTGGGCTTTGCTGCGTCGAGTCGGAATCGTTCTCGGGCGGAGTATACAAGAACTTTCCCTGCCTGGGGCAGCACATTCCCATCTGGCGCGAGGTTGACTGTCTCGTCTTTAGCACTTCTAGTATTGTATATATTGAATGGAAGAGGGCAAGTCCTCGTGACTTACCAAATGACCTTTGCCAAAATAGCAGCAAAGGAATTGGAACCCAGACGAAACATAGGGGCAGTAGGTAGGCTGCCCAGAAACCAACCTCTCTCTCCAAGTAAGTCGAAGCAATTAGAGAGAGACTTCCAATGTTGGTGAACCTTTCTATGTCAGCTGGCTCTATATGTTTGCAACGGGGTGCCCTATACCAGTAGAAAACATTGTATATATATTGAAGAGTTAACGTGCGATCCGCGATGACTCTCTCCCCTTTATTAGTGACTACAAACTGTGGAGTTAAAACTGTATATTGATCACCTATAAAAGGGGAGACTGTGGCCTTGATACCCCCAGTTCCTAGACCTAGCAGGACCATGGCAAGCGCCAATCCAAAAGTCTTGATAGAAAGTTGGGTTACCGCTGGAAGTGATGTGACAAAGAGCACCACACACCCACATGTATTTAGGCTGGCGATGGTCAGCTTCAACTCGTATGTGAAAGGAACGTGTAACTAACATGTAAGAGATGCATAATGTTTTGTATCTCCCAATCCATGCGTCGGATAGAATAGCAAATGGTAAAGGGGCTATGAATGAGAAGAAAGAGAAGGCATTGGAGATGTTTGTTGCCGTTGCTTGACCAAGACCCAGAACCCCCGGGACCTCAATACTATCACGGTCATTTTGCATATAGTTCTCTGGAGATGGTTAAGACCCATTGGTAGCCCGTTGGCTTTGACACTTACGCCATGGAGCGGTGACGGCATAGTACGTGAATCTTTCCAACGCACCAGCTACAAGAGCTATCCAAACAATGAGCGGGACTGAGTCCACCACATGCGGTAGGGTTTTGAGTTCGTCCTCGGTTGCATCCCGTCTCTCACGTTCGGTGGTCTGGATATTCATATTGTTAACTTAGTACCTGAGGAAGAAAGGTCCAGTGTGACAGTTTATTAAACCGAACTCCACCGTTCTTGCAAATCTCTTGTTGGGGGGGGGGGGGGGGGGGGGGGGGGGGGGTCGCATTGACTATGACGAAAACATATGAGAAATGATGAACTAGATGGCCACGTAGTATTAGTGGACTGCTAGTCCTGAAATTCTCTTTACGCATTGCGTATCTCAAACAAGACAAGGGTTTCTTGCGTCTGTGCTTAAGATGTATAATGCATGCGGTAGAACACACCTATGAGATATTGCCATGTATTCACTACGATAGTTGAAAGTACCGTCCTGGGCCTATGGTGCAAGACAAACATATTATGGCGATACAATTGAGCAAAGATAGGGACAGGAACATTGAATGAGTCGTGGTTGGACTCTACTAAAAGGGGCTAAGCGTTGTGGAAATCTCGGGAGGTTTCAAGGTTCAATGTTCCTCCGAGATCGATACACGCGCTAGATTCCCTGTTCGGTCTGTTTTGTCGCTCGGATTGTATTTTATACCAGTAAATTATTGTATTTCGGTTTGTTTGCCGGTAAATATACGTATTAATACTTATGTACGTATCTTGATACCGTAATATCGTCCCCGTTGCGTCCTGATCTCAAACGAGGATTCAGTATATATCCGACGGAGTCTCCACGGCTTGCCATTTTCAATTAGTACAACCCCCCCCCCCACTGTCTGCAAATACCTACAATGCAAACAGCGCCCATGGACTTGACTAGCATCAGCAAAGAGGCATTTGCCTTCGAAACCTTCCTGCTTGCCATTGATAGCGAAGGTATGCAGACAGATTACTGCTAGTGATATGACCAGGGTACACTAACCAAGGCGGTCACGGTAGTTTACGTAAACGTCTCCTGTCGCTGGCGGTTCAAACCAACAGTAAAGACGCCATGCTTCTTTCATAGTCTTGATCTGTTCTTGACAGTTGATTCCACATATTCTACCGAGAATGGTCAGATTGCGTCTGCCACGGGCACCGTTCTTGAACATCTCGTTCGGACGATTCGAGCGTCTAGCGACGAGGTCGAAGTGGCAACGAAGTTAATTCTGGTTCCTCATGGAGGGTATCTCTGTAGGGGAGATATTCTCGACTTGAGGTTGCGGGATTCTGAATATGTGGAGTCGGTCGTTCAATTCACGAGTCCGGATAGTGGCTTTTCGCCTATTCCGGGCCAGGGAGACAAGTCTCTTCTGGCCTTTTTGCCTTCTTCTCCCGGGGCATTCCTCCTGAAGAAAGTTAAAAGACTGACCGCAGAGATGCTGGAGGAAGACTTGAAAGTCCGATTGTCTTTTGATTGGATACTTCCAACTAAGCCAACCCGACGCAAAATTGCTATGGTAGGTGGGCGTCCGGCGTTCAACATCACCAAAGGATCATTCGGTCATCAGGGAGCATACGAGGCCACTAAAGCTCTCGATATATCTATGGTTATCCTTGATCACCCAGGACATTGGCTCCAAGATGAGAAGTATTCTTATATACGGGATGGCTTCATTGCCATTGATGTGACTGATGATGCGGGGCTTCCTGGAAGGATTGTCGAGGCATTGAAAGGAAAAGGATTCGATGGTCTCCTGACATTGTCAGACGAATTTGTTATCCCGACTGCCAAAGCAGCCGAAACCTTGGGTCTTCCAACTGAACCTATAGCGTCATTCCTGCAGGCTCATAACAAGTACGAGGCACGAAAATTACTCAGTCCCAATATCCAGAGTCTACTCGTGAACAGTGTAGCGCAACTGGAGGACTTGGCCGTAGCTGCACAGTTGCAAAATTTCCAGTACCCCTTGATTGTGAAACCATGTCGGGGTGGCGGTTCCCGAGGGGTAAAGAAAGCCAAAGATCCTTCGAGCCTCCATCAAGCCGTAAAACAGCTGGAAGAGACTGGGCTTTCGAAACACGGCATTTTGATCGAAACCTACATTGATGGTCCAGAGGTGGATGCCAATTTTGCTCTTTGGGATGGAGACCTTCTCTTCTGTGAGATATCAGATGATTTTCCATGCCAAGCAGACGCAATAGATGCTTCGGTGGCCGACAATTTCGCGGAGACAGTGATGATCCTACCGAGCCTACTAGATCCGGAAGAGCTACAGGACATTCAAACGTCACTATACCAAGGCCTCCTCAAGCTAGGATTCCGCTCAGGCGTCTTTCACCTCGAAGCCCGAGTGAAGAACTCCTCCATGCGGTATCAGGAGACCGATGGCGTGATCGAACTTGCCCACACGGGATCAAACGCGAGCTCCAAGCCGGAGGTGGTTTTGATCGAGGTCAATGCTCGGCCACCTGGTCTACAGGCCATTTTTGCGGTTGCCTACACCTTCGGGGTGGATTACACTGCCCTCCAAATCCTTCGGGCTCTCGACGATCGCGAGCGCTTTGCCGCTTTAGCTCAACCTTTCGCCCCTCATAGCCAGTACCATTGTGAGATCTTTTTTATTCCTGTACATCGAGAGAATATTCGGGTCCCCGAGAACTTTTGCGAGCAGGTGCTTCAGCAACTGCCGGAAATCGCGCCCCACGTGACTAGGGCTGAACGGACTGCGTTAAAGAAGGTGGTGTCACCGGTGGGAGGCACTGGTTTTATTGCTTATTTTCTAATCTGGTCGAGGACCAGTAGAAAGGAAGTCTTGGATATAGGTGAACGTATTCAGGAAGTGTCGAGAAGAGTATTGGATGGTGTTTAACCAATCAAAGTGGTTCGAACTATATATAGCCCGATAGTTATCGTTTTGATAATTACTTTCATAAATATTTTATTACAGTAATTTTCAATGATTGAAACTAGGTATGTATCATTTTACCTACTAGCATTAATATTCTAGAAACGAAAGCGATTATCTTAGTATAAAATACTATACTTGGGTATAAATAGCTGAGACTCCCCCTAGGGCCTGATTCCTATCCCACCACATAGACCATATACCTACGTTTTAACACCACCCATCCCCAAAATGGAAGAATCCCTCATCCTGTCCAAATTCGACAACCTTGTCCAATCCGGCATCGTCCAATACGATGATAAACAACAAATCATCGAGCACATTGATGGCGACCTCAAAGTACTCATCATCCCTTCCCCGACCATAATCCAAATCAAACATCTAGTAACGCGATGGCCCAGTTTCAATTTGTCCTCACTTCTGCCCTCATTAAAAAGCCCACCCTAACAACCGCCGAGTCCCAACCCGATGCCAACACCCAAAAACCCGAAAAACGAGAAGGCAGCGACATAAGCACAACCGGATTCGAGCTCGGCGCCCTAGACAGCCACTTAGTGATCGTGAACAAGTTCTGCTTCGCGCGACCCCACCTCATGCTCCTCACGTTCGATGGATACAAACGACAATATGAGGCGCTCGACAAATCCGATCTAAACGACACGTGGCAGCTGCTGAACTCTGCACAGAGCGACTACGTTGCGTTTTACAACTGCGGCCCGAATGGCGGATGCAGTCGCCTGCATAAGCATCTGCAGGTGATGCCCTTGCCGGCGAACAGTTTTGCTGCCTTTCTGGATTCTCCAGATGAGACTGAGACTAAAGTTCCATTTCGGTGGTTCTATCGACGCTTTGAGGGTAATGTGACATCCGCTGCGTTGTTCGGAACCTACAAAGACCTGCTGGAGGAGGCTACAAAGGTGGGCGGGGAGTATACGACGGATGCACCGCCTGGAGCGGTCTGTCCGCATAATGTAATTTTTACTAAGAGGTGGATGATTGTGCTGCCGAGAAGACGAGGCGCGATTAATAAGGAGGCTGGGGTGAATTCGTTGGGAATGCTGGGGGTTATCGCTGTGGCTACGACGAAGGAGATTGATAATTGGGTCAGGTTGGGGTTGACGGAGTCACTAGCAGAGCTGGGAGTGCCTAAGGGGATATAATTGCCAATGTTCTTTGCGAATGGCAATGTGGAGGTAGGTTGAGCCTGTAGTCGGCGATATGTTAGTAGAATTACAGATAACCCACGTTGATAAATATGTCACATCGAACCTAAATTTGCATCTTCAAAACTAGAGAGTTGTAAAATATCTAAAAATAGTGCATCCTGTTAGAAACTAATCAAGTTTCCAACCGTTGCGTGCTCGCATCCCAGCGAACCAGTCCTGCACATATGACAACCCAGCATGAGGACCATAAATTTCCGTTTCCCACTGAGGCAACGGGGCATCAAGTCCAGTCTCCTGCAGACATGTTTCACGCAACTGCTCGAGACTTCCACCACGGTCATAGATAGAGGATTCACTAATCTGACTACGTTCCATCCGCATCTGGGTCCGCAATGCCTCAGTCTCAGCCTCATTTACAGTAAAATCGTCGTTGACAACGGTACCATACGCAACACGCGCCCCCTCAAACGTGACAAGCTTTCGGTGTACTTCCAGAGCAATCTTTTCTGCCGGACGTGTCAAAGGATCACCCAATCCACCTCCTCCCCAAGTAACCCACTCGAGAAGATCACCCGGATCAACGCGAATGTGATCACACTTGGAAGGCAAAATCTCAGTCGGAGGACTGTCCTCGGACTTGGAATACCGGTAGAGGATTTTGCGGGATCGTTGTCCTGGCTTTCCGCCCTTCAATCCCCATGGCTTGGTGAACCACCGGTCATCGTGGAGACTGAATTCCCCGCGGGCTAGAAATCGGTATAGCGTGCGCTGAGCATTACCACCACGGTAAAATCCGGCGCCACCACTATCAGCGACGCTCTCATTTGCTTCAATACGCAACGGGTAATTGAGCTCTATTATTTCTGTGGGGATGGACTTGATAGCGGGGAAAAGACAGTGGCAATCAGGGCCATCGCCGGCTTGCCGTGCAGGCACACCTCCAAATCCAATCTGGTAGAGCTGGTACCACTCTCCGTCCGGCTTGAATCCAGAGTAGAAGAAGTGTGGTGAGTCACTAAATCCGGCTGCAGCCTGGTAAGCGTCTTGCTTTTGGCCAATTAGGGCTTGTACAATATCCAAGGTCCGTCCGAGGAAGTGAGTTCGACATGAGATTGGCGCAGGGCGAACAGGCTTGAGCACTGATCCTTGAGGGATGTACACATCAATCAAGTCATGGAAACCGTCATTGATAACCGTGCCCGGGGCAGCGGCTGCAATGAGGTAGTAACCAATGAACATCCTGAACATTGTCTCCGAGAGATAGAAGTTGATACTACGTTCGCTCTGGGGAGAAGTGCCACTCCAGTCAAATTGGAGCCGGTTGCCATCCACCTTTTTCATGGAGCAGGAGAGTGCCCAAGGTCCCACACCGTGACCATCGTCGTCGACGAAGTCTGTGAATTTGCTTTCCAGATCATCGAATTGGCGCTCGATGATCTTCGCGAATCCACTTCGGTTCCGGTACAGCAGCTCCGAGCACGCGGCGAGGTATACTTCACTTCCGAAACGGGTGGCCAATTCGCGAACTCTGGTGGCTGCCATAGAACAGGATGCTACAATAGCAGTCAGGTCAGAGCGATACCATGCCGGTTGGCGAGAGTTTCGACAAAGAAGGTCGACCAGATCTTTGTTCATAACACCGCGGGTATACAGCTTTATGCATGGAATCTGCACGCCGTCATCAAAGACGGATGTCGCGTTGATGGACATGCTTCCTGGAACGATACCTCCAACGTCTGTCAGGTGGCCAAATTGCGATGCAAATCCAATGACCCGACCGTTGTGGAAAATAGGCAAAAAGGCGATGATGTCGTTCAGGTGGCTGATGGCACCCTGCACTTGGTAAGTGTCGTTGGTGATAAACACATCGCCTTCCTCGATTGTACCGTTCCAGACATCGAGGAACTGTGTGATGAAACTGCCAAACTGACCAACTAGCATTTTGCCCTCGCAGTCGGTTATGACATTGAATTCATCCTGTTGCTCTCTGATGGCAGGGGACATGCTGCATCGTAGCATCATTTTGTCCATCTCGCTGCGAATGGAGGCCAGTGTTGAGGAGATCAGCGTAGGAATTAATGGAGTACTTTTGACAAGCTCTTTGGCTGACTCGGCAGTGTGTGTGGTAACGGAAACAGGTTTCTTTTCCAGAGGATTGATCAAAATATTACCGATGCTATCGATTTCACCATAGTACCCAGGTAAGATGAGTGTGTTGCTGTCCATTTCGGAGATAATACACGGACCCGTGACTTGGATACCCTGCTTGCTAATCTTCTGACGATCCCACAGGGCTGCCAATTTTTCTTCGCCTTGCACGATGATATTCTGCTCGCCAATCTTTGCGTCTGAGGGTGGAATCGTCCCTTTAGCAACTTGGGGAATGTCAATACCAGGCGAGGCGTCTTCCAACACAACTCCCAGCCTCATCAATTCAAGCTCAAAGTCAGGTAAACAGTAAGTAAACATCTGCTGGTGCTGCTGGTCGAACTTTTGTCGCAACACATCATGCCATTTCTCAGTATTCAGGGTCAAGTCTTCTTCGGTGATCTCGATTGTTATCATCAAAGCTTGGCCTTTGTACCGAAGATCTGCTTGATATGCTGTTTTCCATGACAAGGGCCACAGATCCCCCGCTGTTCTCGACAAGGTATCCCGACACTCTTGCTCTAGCGTTTGGTACTGTTCCCGTGCCTCGAGAACAGTGGTTCCAGAGACAATACGGATGAAGGTGGCGGATTGCTCGTGTCTAAGTTTAGTGGTCACATCACCCTGTGCACATAGGATTCCAGGAGAAGGCGGGATAATCACAGGCCAGGCCCCGAGAAGTTGACCCACCGCGTTTGCATGCAAAGGACCGGCACCACCGAAAGCGACCAGTGCAAATTCACGAGGGTCATAGCCCTGCTCCACAGAGACAAGACGCAAGGCACCATACATTGTCTCGTTGATGATTGTGATGATATCCTCGGCTGTTTGGATAACTGGAAGCTTCATTTGGTTCGCAATATCCTCGACAGCAGTTATAGCAGCCTGGACATCTAACGCGAACTCACCACCCAACAATGTTTTGGGTAAATATCCCAGGACCAAATTTGCGTCCGTGACTGTGGCTTGCTTTCCGCCTTTTCCATAGGATGCAGGTCCCGGTGCTGCGCCAGCGCTCTCGGGGCCTACCCGCAAGGTCTCCGTGAGCTCCATATATGTTGTGATCGACCCACCCCCAGCTCCCACGGTCTTGATGTCAACTGCAGGCGCCCGAACAGAAAGACTCTCTACAACAGTCTCTCGTCGGAGCTGAGGCTGGCCATTGTAAATTAGTGCGCAGTCGGTAGAAGTTCCTCCCATGTCCAAGGTAATCAGATTCTTGTACGGGGTACTCCGAGCCACAACATCTGCCACTCCTTTGACACCTCCTGCGGGTCCCGACATGAGAATGTTGACTGGTAGCTCCGAAGCGAGAGTTAAACTAGTCAAACCACCATCGCTCTTGAGAACTCGAATAGCTTCACTTTCCGCCGCAAGCGCCTTAGACAAATTGAACAAATATTTCTGGACTACCGGCTTCACCAGCGTATTCGTGCAGGTTGTGACCGTCCGTTCATACTCCCCGACTTCACGGAGGACATCTGTAGAACAAGTGATGGCGATATCTGCTCCAAGTTCCTCGCGGACTATTTGCGCAACCACCTGTTCATGGGCCTCGTTGCTATGGGAGTTCAATAGCGAGATAGCGATTGCTTCTGGCTTCTGTCGTGCCAGCTCTTTCAGGCTTTGTCGCAGATCCTCAATATCAACTGCCGTGACTGTTTCGCCCTGTACTGACATGCGCTCTTTACATTGAACGACTCGCTCAAGCGGCACTATAGGCTCGGGCGGGGTCCAGTGTAGCCACGCACCCAGTCCACCTGGGATCTGGGAGCGGCGCAAAGCCAATATATCCTTATGGCCAGCAGTAACAATTAGCGCGGTGCGAGCGCCCTTCCCTTCGAGAACTGCATTGGTTGCCGTTGTCGTGCCATGGTGAATGAATTGGAAAGTCCCTGACCAGCCGAACTGCTTATTGAGTAATTCTCGCGCCTTTGCAATGCCTTGTTGGATCCCGATACTTTGATCTGGGATGGTTGTTGGAACTTTTGCGCGCACTGTTTGTCCATGCGGGGTGAACACGTAAACATCGGTGAATGTCCCGCCAACATCAACTCCGAGTTGATATCCCTTCTCTAGGGGCTCTTGCATGGTGCAGTTTCGGTATGTTTGAACCTTCAATAGGTTTGGGGGGAGGGGAGCGATGAGGGGAAGTTCAGGATCATTAAAACGTGTTAAAAATCATTACCTCAGCACCTAAGGGTTGAGCCTGGGATACACCAATGTTATCGCATTTTGAGTGGGCTAATGAGTCCGCTATCACTAAACGGGGGGATGAAGTGGCATTCATTACCTTGTTCAGACCAGTGGGGCGCATATTGCCAATGAGGTGGTTCATGCAGGGTGGATGTATATGCAACTAGTCAGGCTCTACATGAGAGGTTGGTTTCCACTGAACTACTATATACTTAGACGCTTCGACTATTTCTTAACTTTTCGGCCTTAGTGGTGCCAACTAAGGCGATGATGTCGCCGGAGCGGCACAAATATTAATATCGCGGACAGATATTTCCCTGTTGTTATGCGAGAAGAGCACATCCTCAAATTCAATGTATCCCTCAATAGGACCAATGTCAAAATCACCGGGCTTTTTAATCACAGTCGGTTTGGTAGGAAGTAAATCGAGAAGCCGTTTAGCATCTATGGAATTTGCGGTCAGCCACCTGTGATTTTTTGGCAAATACTTGATCGACGCGATGGGAATTGTATCACAAAGACAAAGTCTCCGGGTGATGCTCGGAGTTGACTGATTTCATTGGCGACAAGGTGTGCAAGGATGATAAAAGAAGCTGGAAAGCATGTCTCTATCAAACAAGTCAAGTACACGTCTCGATCGGAATATCCTTGTTTTGCGGTAAGATGTTTGTCGGCTGCCTCTGTGACGCGAAACTTATCATATGCGAATATGTTAAATGAACAAGCCGTTAACCATCCTTGAATGGCTTTGTGTACCCCGCGCCTAGCCTTGTTCCGCCTATGTCGGCGACGATTTTAGACGTTCCAGTGGGATGTAGTAAGTTCCAATGCCAAAAGTGTTAGCATACATAATGCCGCTAATGATCAGAACTTGAGATAAATAAGGACCAACGCAACAAACAAGTCAATGGTCGCTGTAATTATTTCTAGGAAGCTGGTTTCCAAGACGTTCGTGAGTGCGCCTTGCTCAATAGCTTTCATAACATCGGTAGTGTCTTGCTCGAAGTGAATTTCCATCCTGAGTTCATAGAAATGTGTAAAGATTTCCTATATATAGGATAGGCCGGGTGTGGGCTTTGCAGAAGGCTAAGGAGTCTAAGGAATGAGTCAAATAGTTTAGGCAAGCAAAATGGTTGCCTAAGTACTCATTACCTCCAGTTTCTTGCTCCGTTGCTTCTTTCTCAGGACTTGGCGAGCCAATTTTCGTTCCATATGACACCCAGTCTACCCTTGATTAACGGATATATATTTCACGTTTGATCAGGAGTTCACCGTGCCTGAACTTTCAAAATAGCTAGTTATGGCTGTTCTGTGCCTCATTATTCTATGATCAATCAGTATTCAACGCATGAGTTAGCATGGAACGAACCATCCCTTTCCCTCCAACTAAATCCAAATATGTTCAGAGGCCAGGCTGCGTCAGCTGATATCCATGAGGTATCATCCGTTGCGGTTGTGGCATATATTAATGATCTCCCGATAAAAGCAAATGCAAAGGTATTCGCAGATTCATATTTACTTCCTGTTGTCTCACAATGAGGCCCTCCCATCTTTATAAGTCAGTGTCAATGCCCTAATGAAAGTGTGCTTTTGGTCTTACCTGCTCTAACCATCATTCTATCTTGCCGGCCGCGCAATCCGAGCTCGCATTTGTTCCTTAAACTCTTAATCTTACTGCACCCCATCCCGCTCCAAGAGTTCCCCAAGCCGGCCCAGTTGACTGGTACTGACTTCATCATAATTGATATGTATGCTCGTCCCAAGGTGGGTGCAGCACCTTGATACCACGAATGCGATTGTATACCAACCGCAGCGCAATCATAAAAACCTTCGGATTGTCCAGGCCTTCCATTTTCCATTCCTTGGCATAGGGTAAGCTTAGAAGAGCCATCTGGTAATGTTCTTGGTCGCTGGGCTGCGTTCTTTCTGTGAACTGCTCCCAGGTCTTCGCATTGTGCCCTCGCTCAATGTCTCGCCCTCGTTCGATCTCTTCGCGTTGTGCAAAAGCAAGCTCATCCGTATCGTGAAGATCAAAGGCTTTTCATCTTCACTGGCATCGTCTTGAATATGGTCATCCTTATTCGGCTGTTCCGCATCAATATATTCATCGTCCAAGGCATTCTCTTCATCGTCGGGGCACTGTATTCAGCATCATCATCCTCAGCAACAACAATGTAGTTGAAGACTGGTCTTTTGCGAGTGTTAGCCTCCTTCCGGGCTAAGCGCTCATCCGAGCGTTCGGATTGCCTGTCGTTGAGGTACTGAGCAAGATCTTGATCTATCTGTTTTTCAGCGGCGGATTTTCGTTGTAAGAGTACTTTCCCATCCTGGCTCTCATGGCATAGGTTGACATCTGACTGGACCGATTTGAGATCTTTGAGCATGATCGATCGAAATACAAGGTCCTGTCTATTGATAGCGAGCTGGAGACAGGTCTTTTCAACTTGCTTTGAGTTCCTAAACTGGTCGTGTGAGTTTGCAGTAGCCACTCGCACCACAGCCAACGGAAACTCGGACGTAATCTGTAAAGTCAGTAAACGCAGAATTTCAATTTGGAGTTAGGGGTAGAGGTGTATGACTAAGGATAAAAAGGAATTTTGACATACACGGAGAGCGCACCCGGCTGCCTGGGCCTCTTGGGCCCAGCTACGACCGGGGGATGTCAGGATGACCCTATTTCAGGCATGGTGAAGATTCAGACCCACTGAGCCCATGTCATACGTTGTGATAAGCACTCGTATGGTGCTTTGGGGATCGTTGAACTCGTTCACCAGGGTATCACGCTCGCTTGGCTCAAGAGCTGAATGAAACGTTCGGGCGTCAACCAGAGCAGCACGCAGAACCACCTCCGCATACCATGCGCTAAGTGGACAAGAATCGACGATCAAGATTTATTGATGGTGGCCAAACCTGTTTTTGTCCACCTCTTCAGATACCTTTCGATCCAGGAGCTGTTGAAAAATCAGTCTTAGCCGTGGCGAGCCATGAACTGAGAACTTCATCAAGCCATCCGTGGAGTGAACGGTGCAGTCGGTATCTTCCTTCGTCACCATATAAACCCATTCGGCGGCAATATTTTCCTGTCGCCATCCGTACAACGTTGCCACATGCGTGTTCGAGTCGCCAAGTTCCAATTTCGCGTTCAAGGATAGCACGAGTAGTTGAGAAGTTCGCGATTGCAAGTTTGCGTAGTGACTTTGTGGCGGCTATGGATTTAGATTTGACCCGCTGTCCAGGATTGGCAGTCCTTTCTATTGCGGTTTCAACAATGTACTCCCTAAACGATCATTGTTAGCATACATATCCAAGATATAGGGGGGTTGTGGGTCAGACTTACTCCGCAGCTTTAGCGTGGAAAGCCTGATACACTATTTTCTCTTCTGTAGAAAGCTCCATATCTGCAGTTCTGAACCCTAGGTCTAGCATGCAAACTGCTCAGTCTGCTAACAAATAAGCCACTATAGGATTATCGCCCCACCGCCCCATTGCCCCACTTCCCCACTGCCTAATCGCACTCTGGCGCTAACCCAATCTGGTAAGCCCGCCCTTCTGGCACAGATCTATATTGTCGAACTCTGATTTAAGAAGTCTGTCCATGAACTTTAGAGAACACATGCGAAGGGGCAGAGTGGCCAAAGATCAAATGCCTAATTTCATAGGGATGATGCCTTGATATGCCTAAATTATATACCGTTTTCGACCGCTATATACCGTATACTATAAATTGAAGGTATTCCTAGTTATACATACCATATATAAGAATAGTTGGCTAGTTATACGGCCTTAACTAGTTAGCTATCTTTTAGCTATTCTTTTTTAGTATCTTTTTCAGTCAGTTTTTCAGTCAGTTTTTCAATCAGTTTTTCAATCAGTTTTCTGAGCTATCTTTTTAGCTATTCTTTTTTGGTATCTTTTTCAGTTAGTTTTTTAGTCAGTTTTTCAGTTACTTTTTCAGTTAGTTTTTTAATCAGTTTTTCAATCAGTTTTTTAATCAGTTTTTCAATCAGTTTTTCAATTAGTTTTTCAATCAGTTTTTCAATCAGTTTTTCAATCAGTTTTTCAACTCAGTTTTTCAATCAGTTTTCTAAGCTATCTTTTTAGATATCCTTTTAGCTATTCTTTTTTATATCTTTTTCAGTCAGTTTTTTAAGCTATCTTTTTAGATATCCTTTTTAGATATCCTTTTAGCTATTCTTTTTTCGTATCTTTTTTAGTCAGTTTTTTAGTTAGTTTTTCAATTAGTTTTTTAAGCTATCTTTTTAGATATCCTTTTTAGCTATCCTTTTAGCTATTCTTTTTTAGGTTTTTCAGTCAGTTTTTCAGTCAGTTTTTCAGTCAGTTTTTCAGTCAGTTTTTCAGTCAGTTTTTCAGTCAGTTTTCTAAGCTATCTTTTTAGATATCCTTTTAGCTATTCTTTTTTAGTATCTTTTTAGGTATATATAAAGGCGGTAAAAAAAAGCACACTTTATTTAAGAAACTTTGAAATCTCTATATTCCTCAAAAATAAAGCTATTCCTACTCCACAAATCATCAGTTTCTTCGAATCCCTAACATCGAAAACCGTCCCAAACGGTATAAACTACCTCCTTATATTAATCTTAAGAGATTTAGCCAGTCGTAATAGCTTTAACGCCTAGGAATAGGCGTATACGGTGATTTATATAGTAGGAATAGCTTCATTCTTATAAACTACCTATGGTCCTATAGATACTTTGCTTATTAAAGCTACCTATTATAATTCAATCGATGTAAAATAAGGCATAATCCAGGCATATTCAGACACCAAGCCTATAAATCAGGCATTTAACCTTTGGCCACTCTGCCCCTTCGCAATCCATCATCTCCTTGCTCAAGGACTGCAACCACTGGGACTGCGGTTGGGTCTTCCAGGCTGCTTTCTATAATGCTGGACTTGGTTCTGAAGTATACCGCGGGGAAGGAGGCACGTTTGGGATACTGATATGCATATTGCGGATGGGGAAGCAAACCACCTGAGATGGGTTGGCACATGAGGATGTTCATGATGCCTTGCAACCTTACTTTGTACATCGCCGAGAATGAAGATATCAGAAGCCTTAAGCATAAGCATCATAAGCATCATTTAAATTCATTCTCGTAAAAGTATTTGTCAAACATGGAGCTTGATTAGCTTTTCGTCACAATATTTATTATACCCTTGCATTGCCTTTTGCGGGTTACCCACAGATCAGTTCATCACATTGTCCTCGCCCCTTCTTTAGCTAGCAAATGAGGTAGTGAATAGAATTATCCTTAGGAATCCTCCAACTTGGACCAGAAGGGTAGCCTGTCTTGGTCCCTATATTATGGGCGTTCTTGAGTTACAAATCTTTCTTCTAAGCTCGGAATACCCAAAGGGCTAGTTCTACCAGGCCTATCTAGCGTCGAACTGAGCTAGATAACTATTGGCTAGACCGGTAACCTGGGATTACACTACTAGCTACACCAACGGTCAAAAAAGCTCAGCGATCGACTCGATAATTGGTAATCTAGCAAATACACATAAGCGATTTCGTAGTGGGGAACAAGTATTGGTATTCGCGAAAGCAACTCAGGCACGCTCAGGCCAGGTCTCAAACTGTTGTGATGTCAAAGGGGACACAGTTACGCTGCTAGACTCCTCTAACAAAGTATCTCCATCGTCCCCTTTGAACACGTACTGGACGGCGTTACGTCCATCCCTAGTCTTCAGAACCATTTGCTCCGTGATTTCATCTGGAGATCGTATCTTGCCAATAACAACGTTTGGCTTGCCACAAATGGTTCCAATTACAAGCTTAGCAAGTTTGTACTTCCGGAGTTCAGGGGGAGCTTTTTCCCCTGTCGACAATGAAAGATAAACGACTTCCATTCTACGCTAGGCCAATAGATAGTCTGGACGTCGAGAGCAGAGAGGGACACGATGACCGAGTTCGGGATGTTGGCATGAATAATGACAACCCCGCTGCACGTGCTGCGGCGCTTGATATAGCAAGCATAATGTTCGGCCACTTCTCGGTCAACCGCGAAGTAGAGATCGGCTTGTCTTCCGGAGAAATCACATCGTGGCGCGGAGACAAGGCATCCGAAGTCTGCGTTGCCATCATCGTCGAATAATCTTGTGACGCGAGCTTGGTCAATTCCCGTGTAAAGGGTTGTATGGCCCGGTGCTCTTGAAGCTGCAGTTGTTGCAGCTTCCGACAAAGCGGTTTCACGCGATAGCCAAGGGACCATTCTCAAAGAATCTGAAATCGATTGCCGTCCAGATCCACCAGAACTACTTTGTCCAGGTCGGGAAGCTTCCCGCCGACTAGCTATATCTCGCTCACGGGAAGCTTCTTGTACTGCCTGGAGGGCGCGGTTGCGTAACTGAAAGGTGTCCCAAATCCAGAACTTGCATGACTCGGTTAGGCGGATTGATCGGAATTTGGGATCCATGAGTGCCTCCTGGAGCTCGTGGTTAATTCCATACAAATTCATGCAGTGGAACCATTCGGCATCATTCTCTGCGCCGGTATCGGGAGAATTATCAAGGTGACCTTCGGCGACGTCAATGAATGGGACACCATGGTAGATGTCATCAGTCTTCCTCTTGGGCTCACCAGGTGGCCAGTTACTCCAATACTCCCAGATACGAGTTGCAGTTTCCGAGTTATAGCCCAGATGTTCGAGTGCGGCCAAAGAGACGAGATGATCCGGGATACTAACAAAGGAATCGGAACTCGAGGAGATCGATACGGGGGTCAGTGGAAGATGCTGTTATTCTTCATCACTAGATCGGTTTAAATGTCGTTTATGAATGCGACGTGTTCCATCAGCCAAAGGAGGGCTAACCAGCCCCAAGTTTTGTAATGTTACTGCATCATCCGAAACCAGGATGTTTGTCCGCATGCCATCATCGCTGGTCGACATAATGGACTTTCGACGCGCCGATAAATATGCCGTTGTGACTGGGTTTCGTTGAACGGGGTGTGACAGCAGAGAACCCGACCCCTGCACCTTGCGAATAGCCACGGGTTCTCTTCAGACGTATAACGATCCAGAGGAACGATGCTCACTAAACTGATAATTGGATGTTTCTGAAGAATGATACCGAGTTCTCTACCAGAGGAAGTTGATGAGATTGGGGAATGTAGTATGACTTGTAGAAAAATAAGTTCCGTTGCCCTTTTAGTCGGCGGCACCTCCCAACACAATACCCGTGGACCTGGAAATAGAAAGTCAAATCCAATAGATGAAGACTACTCCGTACAAGCCTAAGAGATTCCTTGCTACAAAAAGTTCTTTAACTCATTCTCCGTCCAGTTCCAGATTTCTTTTGCAAGCTTGTCGTCCGTTCCATGCGCACTTGCCATACCACTAACACCAATAGGCTCGTAGTATTCGCCGCTCTTAACATCCTTAGAAACGGCAGCCCACAACTGGTTCTTAACACCACTCTCCACACTAGATTTCATCCCTAAGACGTGTGCCGCGCCAAATATAGCGCGAAAGATCAGTGGCGCATTCGTCGCCCCAGATAAAAGATTCGTCTTCACCACTCCCGGGTGAACCGAGGCCACGGTGAAACTAGGATATAGGCTTGCTAGCTGTCGTGCCCAGAGTATATTCGCTAGTTTGCTCTGGCCGTACCGCTGGAAAGCGGTTAGTATATCTCCTGGTGTCTTAAGCGTATCGAATTGGAAACCTTCAGGCGGCGTATAGAAGTGTCCATGAGACGATACTGAGACGATTCGCACGTCCGATCCATTCTGTGCTGTTCTTTCAAGCACCGGCAAGAGGATCTTCGTTAGAATTGCGTGGCCCATATGATTCGTGCCAAATTGGACTTCATAACCCTCGCTGGTCTGGGCTGGAGGCACTGCCATAACACCCGCGTTCAACATCAGGATATCCAACTGATCAGAAGTGAATGCTTTCGCGGCATTTTTAACGGAATCAAATGAGGATAGGTCAAGCTTCAGTACCTTAATAGGTGCATTAGGGATCTGCGTTTTGATTTCATCGGCAGCAGCTTGGGCTTTGTCGAGACTGCGAGCAGCAAGCCAGACCTCGGCTGGCTGATGGCGGCAGAATTCCGTGACCGCGGCTTTGCCTAGTCCAGAGTTTCCCCCGGTGACAAGAATCACCTTCCCATTGAGGTTGGGTACATCGGTTTTGGGGTTGAAGGGCATGCTAGTAGTATTGATAGAGGTATACCGAGTACAGATACTGGATTCAAAATGCACTGAGGTTCGGATAATAATAGGCTAAAACACTTGGTCTATACTCCTCATTATATATTTCAATCGATCAACAGGAATAGTATTCCAACATCGGAGGCTCACGAAATTCCTTGCGCCACCGGACTTAAGGCATTCATGTTACTTCCGCCCTCTTTCCAAGTCGGAACGGAGACGGAGCATGAAAAGAAAAACCGGGAATGTCCGAAAGCGCTACTTAGACGAAGAAAAGACTAGCTGTCATCCAAACTTTATGATCTACCTTTTTCCTCAAATCCATTTCAGCATCATTCCGACAAATCTGTTGTGGCTTCTGCTACGGATCGTGGAGAGAGAGGAAGAGGAATCATAGTTGTATCCAATATATAAAGAACATGGTATTTATAACCTGAATCTGGAAAACGACCGCTCAGTCTACATACAAACAACGGGAGATGATATATAGATCATCTCAACAAAATCAAACAGACGAATTAAAAATCCACATACACTAGGCATCATGATACTTAGTCCTCCTAATCTTTACCAGTTCCAAGTATCCAGTAACTCACTAGTAAAATTCTCAAGTTCGTCAATAGAGGGCGGCGTAAACAGTGTCGGCATGGCATCCCACGACATCTTCATAGATCGAAGTTTGGATGCCATAAGGCTGAAGGAATCTTGTGCCTGTGAACCTTCCGGATCCAGCCCTGCCACTTCCTTCACACGGTCAAAGCTGTTGCTTGCCTCCTCAAATACCCGTGAAACGTTTACCGCTTCATGCAACAGGGTTCGGTCCCATTCTGGATGGTTACAGGTTGCGAGGCGATAAATTCCAACAACGCAGCGCATCATGTTCGTATACATGAGTGATGAAAATCCCACGAATTCTATAGGCTGGATCGTGGAAAACGTGTCTAGCCAGGACTTGACTGCCTGTAAACAAGCATATATGCACTCAAACCGTTGATTGGGTTGACCGGGGAACGTATTTACTCCAGGAGAGAGTGCAATCGTATGGATCATGAGGTCGGTACTATACATTTCCAGCAATAGAACTTCTATATAGTCATATATGATGTCAGTAAACTACTAATAAATGTAGTAAGTGCACTAGTCAGGCGCCCGGCATGAAATGAGTCTACTTACTATTGCTGTTAAGCTCTTGTGGGATATTGGACTTCAAATTACGCATCTGTGCCTCAAGTGATTTGACGTAGACTGTAGCTTGGGGTCTCATCGTGTGACTCCTGGAAGCTGCGTTTAGCCCTGGATGGTCCGAGGCATTCTCTGAAAGAAAACGCATATTTACCACTTGGACAAGAAGGACGTCAGAAGGGAACTCTTTCTGTTCCTCAAGAACATGAACGCACTCGTCAAAATACGCGGTCCAAGGCAGACTTTTCCCCTTCCCCCAAGAAGGAGGTCTACTACAGTTAGACACGAACAAATGCTTAGTGGACCTCGTTGTCTACTTACCCTGTGCTAATTAGGAAACACCCCAGTAATGCTCGGCGTTCTTCAGATGTTGGAGAGCGCGTAAACTGAGACGGTTTAACAATCCCTTTCAGTTCGTAGGCTAGTGTTACACCGGGATCCTGTCGCGGTGGCTTGTCCAATCCCAAGTCGTACAAAATAGCAATGGCGAGCTGGACGAGACTTGTCGAAATAGACCTGGCGAGGCAATAGTGCCTGTCCCTGAACAGTGAACGAAACCAGGGTGTTATTAATTTTCATCGCAGAATTATGGCAAATATCTCCGTAACGCTGGCTTACCAGGTGGTATACACCAGAACGGCCAAAAGGAAATCCATGTTCCTCGTTCCCTCGACGTACGCTTCGCGGCCAAAGACCCCGGAGACCTCTTTTGATAGCATGACCTTCTGAGTAGAGCGAGTGGATGCCACTGTCATTATGCTTAGCCAGAGCAGCGGGCTTTCCTGGCGGAGTTGTTGGGCAGTCATCGACGAGGAAACGTGGATAAATGGCAGTTGGCCCTGGAACTCATTTCGAAACCTATCTAAATAAGCTGCAGCCTCTTCTGCGCTAGGCTCAAGATAGGGATAGATAAGGAATGGTAGTTGGTTTGTGGATTCGGGCCTGGACGAAGATGAGGCTGTCGGGGTAAAGGGGCCCTCCACTCTTCCAGTCGCCCCAGATCTTTCATATGGGTATTCAACATAGTGACTGTTGTTCGCTATAACTCCATCCGCTTCTCTGTCAGAACTAGCTGGGATCAGGCTTCCCAGCGCGGAGCTGATCGACGAGGCATTGAAGGAGCCCGGAGCACCCTGAGTCACGGATTTGAGTAAGGCGACGAGCCCATCCACTTTCTCCTCCAGTCTCTCTACCTTGTTATCCCCCGATGACTTTGTCATCATACGGCGCTTGCGCGCCGGTGGGGACGGCAGACACTCCTTCCCCATGCGATGACATCTGTTGACCATTGTTAGCGATGAGAAAGAGATCCGCCGAGAATCTCACCTTTCACATTTCCCCCTCACCTCTACGCTCATGTAGCATCGAGCCTTTGCCCGCACACAGTTGATGCAAGCCCGCGCTGACTTATCTAAGCGTATGGTTGTATCGGCTGAATTGGTATTACTATTATCATTATCGCTAGAGGTTTGCGGATGTATGGGCTGATCGAAAAGCCCCAGGTTGAAGGAGATCGGCTGTTGCGTCAGGGCCTGCCGCGGGACAGAGGCAGATAACCCTTCCTTGGAATTCATGGGAGGCTGGGAATAATTTACATCCGATGGGGAAGGGAAGAGAGAACAGCAGATGTGGGGAGGGCGATAGGACCATCGGAGTTAGCATAGCTCCGATCCGCTCCTGGAGGCCCAGGGCGGTTCCGTGCGCAACTGAACAACGCCTGGACAAAATTAAATGACATGAGATTAGCTTCATGATAGCCTGATTTGTTGTGGAATCAAGTAATTCCCGAATTTAATCTCTTTACATAGGGCAGGAAGTCCTATTCACTCCTCTGGCCTCTAATATCGGCACTTTAAATGGTGACATAGGAACCTTGCAAAAGGAACGACGAGTTTGGTCGATATGCTATCCTTTTTATTTAACCTGACAGCAATCATGTGTTCCTATGGTATAGTATTATAAATGGCGATATTTTAGTTCTACAAATGCCATCTCACTATAATCAATAAGATGCTCTCCCGTTGTGAAGCTTTCTCACCAAGCTTTGTACCAATCCTAAAATCAAATCCTTCGTAAGTCTCTCAAAATCGGCACTAGCCGGATACGAAAATCAATTTTAGTAAGGTTTATAGTAAGGCAAGAGTTGGAAGCAAGTGACTCCGTCTTATTGTTGACACGTCCGATCCGCCTTCATGATAGTAGTCGTAAGTAGTATAATAATCGGAGCGGAGAGGAATTAGAAGCTCCGATCCGACGGACCAATAACGAACTATATCCCACCGATCCTGAGCCATGAATGTGGACTATACTGGGGGGTATTTACATTCACTTGCATATATAGCACTTGTCCACTTACGTAGACTGCTTCTAATTCCATCTAAACCTTTGATTATCATTCGCGGTCCAAAATTTTTGAAGATGGAGGAAAAATCTCACCATGTCGACTCAGGTAGGGCTGTATATGTCTCGCCCGCTCCTTCACTGAAGACAAATACTGCAGGCTCTAGAGCGGCTCATGCAAAGGATGCAACGGAAACAACCGTGGTTACAAGCAGGACTGAACACCTAACAAGGCTCGGACTGCTAAGTACTATGGTTTCACTCACCCTTGTCGGGTTTTTGATACTTTTAGATGCTTCGATTGTGTCTACGGTAAGTAGCTTGTTGTCTGCTTGTCTGCCTTGCATCCCCCATCCCTGCCTCGGTTGATAGTTGGAGTAAAGCGACTGACGGAAAATAATTTGATTTTTCAGGCGATTCCGAGAATCACAACCACCTTTCACTCCCTAAATGACGTGGGCTGGTATGGAACCGCATACCTTCTGTCCAAGTACGCTACGTAGATACGGTTACTTCTCGCTATTTCATGCCTCTCTAACACCTGTGATTCTAGCTGTGCTCTTCAACCTCTAACAGGGAAGATGTACACTTACTATAACAATAAGGTAGGTATTATCTCCTAGCTATTCTCCTGCTATTGTGGGATTGATACTAACTCAATTGATGAGCAGTGGACATTCCTTTCCTTCTTCGCCATTTTCGAGTTCGGCTCTGTCCTTTGTGGTGCAGCCACATCTTCCAACATGCTCATTGTCGGACGGGCATTTGCTGGAATGGGTGGGTCTGGCCTCCTAAATGGAGCATACACAATCATTCATGCGAGTGTCCCACCAGAAAGGAAAGCTGGTATGTCCACTGCTCTGGAGCTTGAGTCTCAACCGCTAAACCCATAACCATAGCTCTCACTGGAGTACTTATGAGCATTTCCCAGCTTGGATTATTATGTGGTCCTCTTATTGGAGGGGCATTGACTCAACATGCATCTTGGAGGTGGTGTATGTAAATATTGTTCATTGACCCGCTGAGCGTTAGAGAGCTAACCTATTTATTCCAGGCTTCTACATCAACCTTCCCTGTGCCGCTATAGTAGGGCCCCTTCTGATCTTGACACCACTTCCAGGTCATGACGGTAAAAATTATGAAGGGCCGACGCTAGTTTCCTCTCTCAAAAGGCTGGACCTACTTGGCTTCGCCATGTTTGCTGGAGCCGCTATCCAAGTTCTCCTGGCTTTGAATTGGGGTGGTAGCTCTTATGCCTGGAATAGTTCCATAATCATTGGACTCTTCTGTGGCTCTGGTGCCTTGCTGATTGTCTTTGTAGCATGGGAGTACTACATGGGAGAAGGTGCTATGATACCCTTCTCCATCCTTAGCCGGCGGATTGTCTGGGCCAGCTGCATGAATTATGGATTATTCGCCGGTTGTTCGTTGAATTCTACATATTACCTGCCCTTGTATTTTCAGGCTGTCCGAGATGCCACTCCGACCATGAGTGGAGTGGATCTCCTTCCTTCCATTTTGGGGACTATGATTTTCGCCATGATCACTGGAGTACTCGGTAAGGCAACCCTTCGCCACGTTTGGGCATAACTTTAATGAATATTAACATGTTGTGCAGTGGGCCGAGTAGGATACTATCTGCCGTTCGCGGTAGCCGGCGGAGCCCTCACAATGCTTGGAACAGGGCTTCTAATCACACTCGCTCCCACCACTTCCACAGGTCAATGGATAGGATTTCAGATCTTGCAAGGTGTCGGTCGCGGCCTTGGGCTTCAAATTCCTCTCCTCGCAGTACAAAATAATACGCCAAAGGAAAAGATTTCCATTGTGACCTCGCTTATTGTTTTCGGGCAGAACTTCGGTGGTGCCATTTTTTTGTCTCTCGCTGAGGTCATCTTCAATGCAAGCTTGAAATCAGAGCTGAAGACTCTTTCTCCACAGACTAGCTCGGAGACTATTACCGCGGCCGGCGCTGCAGGGCTTCGGAACGTAGTATCGGCCAAAGCTTTACCAAGTGTATTGCTGGCCTATAACCAAGCCATTGTCCATGTTATGTACCTTGCGGTTGCTGGAGCTGGGGGTGCCTTTCTGTTTGCATTTGGGATGGGATGGACAAGTATAAAGAAGAAAAAGGATACAGGCACTGAAGAGAAGGGAATCTGAATCATACCCGGTGGAAAACTTGCTACTGTTTGGATGATCTCATCTCTCATTGTTTGCTTGCAGACTGGGCGCTTGTTTGTTGAATTTGAGGTATAAAAACTGTTGAGGCATCTACAGGGTGCAGGGGCCTGTGGATTAGGAAAGAGTTGTATTGCTAAGAGAGAAAGCGTTCTGGTGAGGGGTTGATATCTGAGGTACCACATGGTGGCCCAAGGCCACCACACCAAATACCCTGCTCTTCCTAGATTCCCGGATTAAATACACAAGGATTCTTTCTCCCCTCCCCAGTAGCTAGTAGCTACAACAACCTTCTCTACTGTCTCTTTCTTGTCAACCCACATAGTGAAACGAGGATACTCTTGTCTCCTATCGTTTCAGAGATATCTTCCTTGTCTTGTTCAGGCATTACATTGATTAGCCTAATATCTTTCTTCTATCACTTCGCAAGCCCGCTAAATCATCTGCTCTGGTGGATGTCAATCCAAATATGGCACCATCTCGGATAGCGGAGATTGTTCAGGGGAACTCTTACAGGGTCCGGATTGTCCATCAGAAAAGATGGCGAAGCGGTGCCGTTAGCGTCAACCCTCGAGATTAAAACACGCAGCATCAAAAGGGTTCTTACAATGAGAGGGGTCGCACCGCAATTGTGGATTTCACAAACTCCCAAACTTGTGCGAGCCTACCATAATGAAGGGAAGTTCCATCCACCTGAGGCCGAGGATGCGGTAGCTGCAGTAAAGAGCTGGGAAGACCGTCATCAAGTCGATTTAAGAAAACTGGCTGCATTAATCCATAGGATCATCGAAGTTACAAAGGGCTGTGGAGGGGTTGCCACAATCGGACGACAGGCTCAAAGCAAGAAGTTGACCATTGACAAAGCAGATAGAGACAGAATGCTATTTATGGATCTGTAGTCTAAATGGGACGAAGAGAAGCTAGAGCTGGAGCCGGAAAAGAGCTAAGATACTATGGCCCGATATTCCTTGATATCACTGTCAGCATAAATTGGTTCCATGCAGTCATTCAAGATGTCTTGGACTTTTTTTCACTCACCTCCTTTGTCTGAATTTGCTATCAACACCCGTAAAGTGATATATTGAGAAGAATATCAGGAGCATTTAGTCGTTGGGACTTGAAGGATACGCGCATAAGCAGTGACGTCTACCTGTTAAGATCTCTCATAGGGCACATGACCTTCCATAGTATTAGATTACTGTCTGCTTTCCAGCTAAACATACACTAAGCGCGGGTGTTCACTGAGCCTGAGCACTGTTTAAACAGCATACCCCGAGACCTAAGCGATCATTGAGTAATCACACTATGCTGGGGAATACTAGCCAAAAGCCTTGAACCTCTAAGGCTAGTCAATTCAGGGGTTTAGTTTAACTCTGGGATCAAAAATCGGCAAGAGGTGAGCTAAAACGAAACGAGTGGCAGGTATTCATCGTATTTTATAGATGCAAGTGACGCTAGTCCCGAAATAGATAAGGGCACTTCCTTAAAGTTTTAGAGGCAGGCGGTCAAGAGTGGCATATCAGCGATAAGAGATATGCCTGGAGATCGGAAAGTTGGAACATCTTCTCCACTTGGAGATGGTACTGTGAACAGGGATTGTCGACAGCCGCTAACAATGGCGCTCCAAAATAGTGGGTGATGCTATCTCCAAGGGTTTGAATTAGTATACTAACAATAATGCAGATGAGCCCGCGCCATTCGCGCCTCAATCCTCGTACGCCCTCTGTCCGTGGAGTGGACTATATGATCTTGCTAACACCCTCTTAGCTTGTCCTTTACACAAGGGTTTCTTCTTGGCCAGCTCTCAGTCGTACTTTTGATCGGCGCCTTCATCAAGTTTTTCATTTTTGGCGAAGCACCACCCCCTCCGTCCCGGGGCATGTCAAACCGCACAACGCACCGCCGCTACAGCTCGGTCTACAACCCCCCTCAAGATAGCCAAAAGTCATTACGAGAAAAACCGTCCACGTCGAATGTTCTGCGTCCCGTACCTTCTACCTCTACAAACACCCGCTCCATCCTCCGCAAAACCTACTACAGTGCCATTCCTACCAACCCTACGAGCAAACATGGCCGACACCGCATGCATCATTCGTCGCATCAGCCCGAGTCGCTGGACTGGTTCAATGTGCTCATTGCGCAGACAATTGCTCAGTATAGGGAGACAGCGTACTCCCTCAAGGACTCGCCCACTTCGTCAATCCTCAGTTCCCTAACGGCGGCGATGAACAACCCGGAGAAGAAACCATCCTTCATAGACAAGATAAATGTCACCGATATCTCACTAGGCGAAGAGTTTCCTATTTTCAGCAACTGCCGCATCATTGCCGTTGACGACCCCATGTCAGACGGTGGACGGCTACAGGCCCTACTGGATGTCGACCTCAGCGACGACAACCTTTCCATCGCCGTTGAAACATCCATGATTCTAAACTACCCCAAACCACGCTCTGCCATCATACCAGTAGCGCTATCAGTTTCGGTTGTGAGATTTTCAGGAACACTCTGTATATCCTTGATCCCAGCGTCAACCGAACCACCAGAGCCACTTCAAACGCCTGACGGATCACCAGCGCCCCCCACGTCAGACCCAAGGGACAAAACAGGGAATCGACCCTCTGGTCCCGGACAGCACACAACCTCACAAGACCACCTCCCACCAAAAAGCAGCCCGAAAAGCAACGTCGCATTCTCTTTCCTCCCAGATTACCGCCTAGACCTCTCCGTGCGCTCACTCATCGGATCCCGCAGCCGACTGCAGGATGTGCCGAAGATAGCCCAGCTCGTCGAAGCGCGAGTCCACGCGTGGTTTGAGGAGCGCGTTGTCGAGCCCCGAGTGCAAGTCGTTGGACTTCCAGACCTGTGGCCGCGCATGGGCAGGACAGGTGTCCGGCCCGGCGAGGACTCGGATGCTGGGTCAACGGCACCACCGCGCAGCGCGGGTTCTACTGAAGCATCAGGGCCGCCCCGGTTCTCTGACGATCATGGTCGGGAGCCCGAGGGGCTGCGGTTCCGTGGCGGCCTGGATACACGGTTAGGCTCGCGCACGAATAATTTCAATGTTGATATGGGTGGCTTGCGCAGCTCGAGTATGACGAGGCAACAGAGTGGTGGTGCTACGAGTGACCATTTTGATATGCCTGGTGCCATGCCAGCGGGTACGCCAGTGGGGACGCCTGGCATCCCAGACAATTGATATACGTAAGTGCCGTTCGACCATTCCTAACCACTTGGGTAAGGTTTCGATTGATTTACTGTGGGTTTGATGTCCCCATGTACATTTAAAAGCACCATGCAATGGAAGTGATGTAAGACAATCTCAAGAAGTTCCGATTTCCATCGTTCAGTAGAATATGTGCAAAGAATTCAGTCATAATGCATCTCAATATCAAAGTGATCCATCCTAAACAGCCGCAGTAGGCCTAACAACGGTCTCCAAATAAGTCTTGCGGTGCGGATTAACATCAACCTCGGCACCACGGTTCAATGGCGTCCACTTAGGCTCGTCTTGGAAAAGACGCATGGCCTTAACGTACTGCAAACAAAGTCAGTCCAATAATCCACAGCCACAAAAACCCCTAAAAGAGGAAAAACGTACGTTCTGCTCATTGGTAGTGAACCGATGATAAATGCCCGCAGGGAGAATAATCATATCCTCCTTAACAAGATCAATACGAATCCACTCGTCCTCCTGTCCACGCACATCAAAGTATCCCTCCCCGTCGAGAATATACCGAATCTCCTCATCCTCATGCAGATGCTCCGAGAAGAACGACTTAACCTTCTCCTCGTAGATAGCGCCCATAGTCGCAGGCGACACGCATACCTCGTCGCGGTTACGGTATCCACGCTCCGCCGCGATGGCGTCCACCGCCGCAATCGTCGGGCAGTGCTTGTATAGAACGCCTAGCGAAGCAAGCTTCTCCTCCGACACAGTGCGGCCAGAATTGTGCGGCTCGCGCTGGTCGCCCTGTAAACAAATGACATCAGCGGTTTGTTCTAGTCCGAGGTGGGCTGTACCTGGAAATGCTTGGAAAGCCGGGTACGGCCAATTGAAGTGTGTTTACCTCAACGTTGTCATACCAGTATGCCTTCATTTTGGGGGATTGTCTCGGTGGTTGAGCTGGTAGTTTTGAAGTTGTAGGGAGGGGTCAGTCGTAGAAAAAAACGTCCAGATCAGCTTACACTTGAACATCAGCAGCCCCGCAATTGGCCGATGGCGCAAGCGCTTATGTCATTGTGTGACCGCCCTCGGTGTTAACGGTTATAATTATGGTCACGTGATATGATACAAATTTCCTTATCGATTTGATTTGATCTTCAAGTCTTGTACCCGGCTGTTTTTTTGGGTTAACATTTGCATTGCATTCCGTCATGGCTTTTCGAGCACGGTCGGCAGCGCTGATGCGTCAGGGCCGCGGGCTCCGCTCATTTATGGGCCGGAGTCGTGGTTTCGCGACTGTTACAGATAATACACGGTTCGCGATTTCCCCTGCTGTCCTTTCGAAGAGTCTTGCTAATTGGTTCGTTTATAGCCCATACGACGTTATAGTTATTGGCGGTGGCCATGCTGGATCTGAGGCATGCGCTGCTGCTGCTCGTTCCGGCGCGCGCACTGCACTAGTCACGCCCTCGCTGGAGAATATCGGTGTTTGTTCGTGCAATCCCAGTTTCGGCGGCATTGGAAAGGGAACGATGATTCGTGAGGTGGATGCAATGGATGGTGTTGCGGGTCGAATTATCGATAAGGCTGGTGTCATGTTTCGAGTTTTGAATCGTTCTAAAGGGCCGGCCGTTTGGGGACCGCGTGCGCAGATCGATCGCGATCTCTACAAGCGGTATATGTCCGAGGAGCTGGCTGGCACGGAAAACCTGAGCATTGTGGAGGGAAAGGTGGCTGACATTGTGCTCTCCACGGAAGGCATCGAGAACACTCCCGGTGCACAGGGCAAGATTGTTGGCGTGCGGTTGGAATCCGGGGAGGTCATTCCTACGGGTCGTGTGGTTATCACTACGGGCACTTTCCTGGGTGGTGAAATTCATATTGGAATGGATGTATTCCCCTCGGGACGCATGGGTGAGGCCCCCACATACGGTCTCAGCAAGTCCCTCCGAGAAGCTGGCTTCCAACTGGGACGCTTGAAGACGGGTACGCCGCCTCGATTGGATAGGAAGACCATTGACTTTAGCGCGCTTGAAGTGCAAAAGGGCGACTCGCCGCCTCACCCTTTCTCCTATCTCAACAAAACTGTCGAAGTGGGCGATGAAGGCCAGCTCACCTGCTGGATGACCCATACAAACGAAGCTGCTCATGAAATCATCCGCGCCAATCTGGACAAATCCATCCATATCCGTGAGACTGTGCGCGGGCCACGATACTGTCCCTCCTTGGAGTCGAAGATCATCCGATTCAAGGACAAGACTCAGCACCAGATCTGGCTCGAGCCAGAAGGCTTCGCACCAAACGACGTTATCTACCCTAATGGCATCTCAATGACGGTGCCCGCAGACGCCCAATATGCCATGTTGCGAGTAATCCGCGGTCTCGAGAATGTAACCATGCTCCAGCCCGGCTATGGTGTTGAGTACGACTACATTGACCCGCGCAACTTACGACCAACCCTAGAGACAAAACTGATCAGCGGTCTCTACCTCGCCGGTCAAATCAACGGCACGACAGGCTATGAAGAAGCAACTGGGCAAGGCATCATCGCAGGCACAAACGCCGGCCTCGAGTCGCAGAACCGATCACCCCTTACCCTGACCCGGTCAGACGGCTTCATCGGAATCATGATCGACGACCTTATCACCAAGGGCGTCTCAGAGCCCTACCGCATGTTCACGACGCGAAGCGAATACCGCATCTCCACCCGCTCAGATAACGCCGACCTGCGCCTGACTCGCATGGCCCGCAAAGCTGGTGTCGTCTCCGACAAGCGTTGGAGTCACTTCTCCGACACCGAAGCCCAGATCCAGGAACTACAGACTCTCCTTGGCAACACGAAGCTCTCGTCGTCTGCTTGGTCTCGTAAGGGCTTCAAGGTGCGCTCTGATACGTCGATCCGTTCAGCGCTCGATATCTTGTGTCTGGACGGCATCGACATCAACACTCTCATTCCTGCCATCGAGTCTCCGATGGGGACGGCCTATACCCCCTCCTCGTTTTCACCGGAGATCCTCACCCGCGTCGCCATTGAAGGCCGCTATGCGCCGTACCTAAAGCGACAGGAGAAGATGGCTGAGCGGTTCCAGCAGGATGAGAATTTGCTACTACCAGTGGATCTAGATTACACTCAGGTGCACGGAATCAGCAATGAGGAGCGACAGGTCCTTCAGCGCGTGCGGCCTGTCAGTGTTGGCATGGCGAAGCGCATCGAGGGTGTTACACCTGTTGGTGCTTTGCGGTTGCTGATGCATGTGCGGAAGGGCAGTGGGTTTTCCAAGGAGATTGATGGAGAAGACCCTGCTGTTGCCGACGTGCTCCGCTCGGCGCCTTGATTCTTGAATATCTAGGCATGTCTGGGAGTCTCTTTTATTTTGATATATTGGCATAGCGGGAGTGACTCGGCGCTGGATGTGCTTTAACTGTACAATATCGACATGTATACTACTTGATCTCCGATGTGCATATTTGCATAATTATATCCAAACATACGGAAATTTCACAATTCTTCAATCCTTATCATCCACTCAGCCTAAGCCACACTTAAGATACTAAAGTACCATTTATCCAAATAAGGCAAACGGTCTGAAACAACCTCACAGCTAAACCTGAACCCTAAGCATAAACCAACCACCTCAAAAACAAACATCCCAAAGCCTAAAAAAACATCCCAACAACCATCTTCCCTATAAAAACACACCTAACCCAATGCAGAAACCAACATACTTTACACCACCCCTCCAGCCCAAAACACGCGAGGAAAAGCGAGAGCGAGGGAAAAGCCAAAAAAAAAAAAAGATAATTACAGCCACGTACCCTCGATCCCCAAACCCATCTCTGGAGACCAAGCAAGGGGTAACCGATCAATTCCTACAGGGATGACGAAAACCGGGGACATGATTACCAATGACCAAATCAAGACACAGAATAGACCCCAAGCCAGCGATCTTCCCTTATCCCAACCCGAATTTGTACTCAAAAAAAGGGCCTCGGTGGTTACGGAGTAGATTCCCACTCAAGAATCCACACCGCGCACACACCTCCCCCACCATCTGGTGATCCTGATTGCAGCACGTATCCGCATCCAATCTCATTCCAGCTCTAGATGTGATGAACAACTCCTACCGAATCGAGCCTCGTACATGACAACCTCGCAAGCCCCATCCAATCCACAAGAACCTTGTGCTTTGTTTAATCGAAATGGAAATGAGTGGTGGCGTGCATAAGCCGTTGGCCGCGATCTGATCTCAGCTGCTCTTTTGTTTTTGGTTTTTTTGTTTTTTTTTTTTTGGTTTTCATGAAAACGGTTGCGTGAATCGCTTACTGTGTGCTTTCTATTGGTCTTCCGCTCTTCCGAGGTCTGAAGTCTGTGATGTATACGAAAACTCACTCACATCTCCGCTAACACCCCCCCGGGACAAGACCCCGGGAAGGGCGGGGTGTTGTGTTGTGATGTGGGTAGCTGAGTGTGTGGATGGATCAGCGAGAGCGTTCGATCTATCGATTCGATGCATCTGGACTCTTTTGTAAGCGTTGTGCATCGTTCTTCTTTTTTTTTTCTCGCTCGGGCACGTCGGTGTTGAGGGGTTAATGTTAATCGGGTAAACGTTTGGAGGGGGGTTGTAAGGGGGCGAATGCGTCCTTGCTTCCTAGCGCGCTTCTTTGCGTGTAGATCGAGACTATGCAGATTTGCGCTGGTATAGTGTCGAAACTAGTACTCTGTAAAAAGTGGCTTACAGCAAAATGTATAGGGGTATCCTGCAGGAGGTACTCTGTACATGTATTTTATATGGATTCGTCTGGTCTGCATGAGACAAAAGCGATTACGGGGTACGTAATATGCCGATGACCATGCACCTGGACACTAGCACGATCATCTGAGACAGATTTGGCAACTGAGCAGGGAAGATGTCTTTCTCCTGCATGGTGAAGAATGCACATGGCGGGTCCGCAGAAGATGTCAGGATTTGCCTTCTAGAATGTTAGGTGTTATCTTGCGAACTGGGATGATGACACGTTCCAGCTGAACTGGGGTAGTGGCAATGCTCCATATATGTGCATAATATCCATGTTCTTGGTCTCCACATATCGGGCAATCTGTGAACTATTATGGCAGTACAACATAGTGTGCGGCGCTAGAGTCACGATATATGCCGCATTGCCTAGATAGGCAACATACCGAACCTCAGCATTATATGGAGTATGGAGTACTATCTGGTGCATACAACACGCGATGTAGTTCGCCTCCCTGTTTTCGAGTAGGGGTCGGTGAACAAACTACTGAGTGGATCCCGAGGTTATGATCTACATGTGTACCCCGTACGTTACTCTGTATACGTGTACATTCTTTGTTCCATTGCGAGTTAGATAGGAATTCCAAGTCTTCTTAGGTCTTCCTAGCTAGAATCAATCACAAATTAAAACATGGATCGGCCGACGCTAGTGGGATATGCGTCTCTAGAGGCTACGGTGCACATCCTCTACAGGAGGTCCTATGAGCCCGTCATTTATCAATAGACCCAATAGCGTCGTTGAAGATCTTGAAAATCTCACGTTGGGGGGGGATTTTTTTCGACTGATGTCATAGATCCAAATTCTTTACACACTCCATGAGGTCCACTATATGGATGCATGGCGACGTGTCTCAGGGTTGCGGTACTCGTCGAAGGGCACTTTGGATAGTAACCTGAAGAACTTTCCCCTAAAAGTCCGGATAAGCAAACTTGTAATACTACAAGCTTAGTGACTCTGATATCGGTGTCTATGTGATAATCTAACTGTGATTGCAGTGTGATGTCTGGCAATCCTTAGGCTATTAAAGACGGACTATGGGAGAGTACCATAATAGGGACTCTTGTTGTTCAAAGCTATCACACGACTCAATAGGTTGTCGTGGCCTTTTCTTTGGGATTCTACTTGCTATTTAGAAATCTCAAGCTCTTTTTCTATGAAGCTAAATTTAGCCATCATAGTGATCTCTTCCGAGTTTTAATAGTGGGTCAATCGGCATTTTGACATGGAGTACATCTTGATCAGATCGTGAAGTATGATCCCCATAACTATTGTAACATACTACCTGAGATCTAGTAGTTAAACCTTAACTTAAAAGGGCTTCTGGTTTAGCTCGGCTTTCCTCTACGACCAAGTGCCGGATGCGGGAGTCTCGCTCTTCCTAAAGGGGAAATAAGAAAGCGGAGAACGGGAAGCCGAGGAAAGAGTTCATTTTCTCTTCACACTGGTATGTTTCTTGTGATTATCAGGGTAATACATAGCGTGACATACAATTTGGTCTTTTGGGGAAATAGATTGAGGTATTTTTTGTATATAGTAGCTGAACTCAAAAGGATCGCAAGCAAATATTCATATATAACTAGGGTTGACGCCATATTCTAACCGGAAGGGCGAAAATAGCGAGGAAGAAATTCAAATCGTAAACTACATTATCTTAATGGTTTTTTCTATTATAATTGTCATGAGAATCTACTTGAGCCCTGGAGACAGAGGTAAAGCCCTTGAGGTGTGATAGGAGTGAGTCACTCGTATCTCGTAATACCTGCAATGTACGGAGTATGTACATCTTTCCATGTACGATTCTACAATACAAGAACCCCCTTTTGATTCAAAAAAAAGGAGTCAAGTCACACAACCAGATATGAGCCATAGCGCTGGGACTTCGCTGAGACTTAGTGATCATTGCCAACACTCCTTCTGACCACATGGGCGTGGGTGATCCCTTGTGTGTGACACGCCTACATTAACTATTACTGGAAATTAGAGGAATGATTGGATTGATTGGACTCATTCATTTTCATCGTTTCCACCCGATCGGCTGGTTTGACACGAGGATCACGGGGTCTGTCTTGATATACGAGGTGGAGGCAACGCTTGGTACTCCATAGGAATCACCTATACAAATGACCCGACATCATCATTACTACGGATGTCTTGGATTATTCGCCTCTTGCCTCCTATCTCTTGACTTTTTGCCTCCGGATACCTCCGTCCGGAGTACGGTGTACCTGAATTAGAACTAGTCATTGTTCCACAGACAAGCGCGATCGGATAGAGCACACCCACAAACTACCCCGAAAAGGAAGAAATAGACGATCGCGTTGATCATGGCGACCTCCCTGAGGCTGACAACCAAATGTTTCCACTCCCCACAATGGCCGTGTCATCCGATATTACCCACACCAATATGCCTTGAGCACTGTTGCCCTGACATGGTTATTGGGCATGTCACTGTTGTACTACGGATACATGTCCAGGTTTCAAAAGTATCCAACCAATAAGGATGTTGACTTCCAATCCTAATCATGTTTGTTGTAAGAGGCTGGGAGTTTGGCACTAAAAGCAATATCCAAATAGCCCAAGGCAATCAGTAACCAGAATTAGGGGGCAGAGACTACGAACTTGAGCGGGTGGGAGAACCCAGGTCCCAAAAAACAGTCTTCGGGGTTGTGGACGAATTAGGGAGGTAGTACCATTGCTTTTGTCCTTTGTTTCCCCATGATCTCTGTGCGAGGCTAGATGTAGGGACTTGTGTTTGTGACACGGTGCATAGTGGTACTAAGGGTCTTGTATTTGATGCATGTGTGGATGCACATGCAATGCACATCTCGCTTGATTGTACTCCGTACGTTCTACTGTATAGTATCTGTAGCTCGGTAGCATGAGTGATGGATGTAGATGATACCATTTCAAGCTACATAGTATACATGCAAACGGACGGAGTACTCCATACTCGGATAAGAATTAATAAATAGTTTCCCCGAGCCTCCGAAGACACAGCTACAATCCCCCGAGACCACTATGCAGTCGGTGGACCAAACCGGATCTTCGTCGACGCCAAGTTCCTTAATGATGATCGCCCCTAAGTGCTAGATCCTTGAGAGTTGCGGCATTTCTTAGTTTGTTCCAAAGGAAGCATAGTACGAACGCCACCGGGACTAGTTGGACTAGTGTGAGTTATTTTGAATTGGGATTTTTTCTTCTTCAAGGTGCGTGCATTGGCCTATTATTACCTGTGTGGCTCTGTGTGCCTGTGCGATCTGTGCTTCCTGTGTTTTGTGCTTCCTGGGCCTTCCTGGCCTCTTGTGCCTAGTTCGAGGCGATCTTCGTATCGCCGCCGATTCTAACCCCAAACGGGTCTAGAGCTGATTATCGAGGAGTACAGAGTACTTAATAGGAAAATAGGATTAAAATATTAAAATATTTTCCCACTGTCAGTGAAACTCTACCTGACAGGCCTGCAATTGCTTATTACAATCCCTACTCTTTGTTTTTTTATCTACCCGTTCAAGCGTCTAGCAGTTTCACCCCACCCTTAATAAGA